AAAAAGTACTACATGGGAGCCTTTGGGTAAGCACTAAACCCCGCAAACCCTGGCCCATAAAGGCACGGGTGGCAAAACACAAAAGAAACAACTAGCCGTCATTAGCCGGCCCCAACCACCTGCGTTGACCAGGCGCAAGTTGACTTCGAGACGGGATCTGGACCCATGCTTCCGTAACCCTAAACCCGAATACCCGAATACCCTGAACCAGTTGCCAGCTAGCCGAGTGGCAGAAAAGTCGCCCTGAACCCTAAACAGAGACTGAGCCCAAGAGGTTCTGTGTTCAGAGATTCATTGGAAGCGCATTGCGCTTTCTGAGATGCACGCACGCCCTGAGCACTGAAGGAATGGTGGCTGTTGGTGGAGGCAAGAGAAGAATCAAGGGCTGGAGGGGGGCATGAGTTTAGGCATGAAGATCTCAATTCTGATAGCCCACCTGCGCTTTCAGGACACGACGACCCACTGCCGATACATCACAGAACGGCCTTAACCCAGCTCAAGCATCCTGAACCACTTAACTTCAGCTTGAAAACTACGGACCCATAAGCCGAAACTAATTCTACTACGAACCCTAAACCGAAACAAGAGCAAGGCAAGTGTGGCAAACAAAGAGTAGACCACCCAGCTTATCGCACCAAGTCTCTCTAAACCCCATAAACCCTAAACCCTATAAACCCCATAAACCCCATAAACCCTATAAACCCTATAAACCCTATAAACCCTATAAACCCTATAAACCCTATAAACCCTAAACCCTTTTCTTGACCAGGCGGCCGCCAGCTCGCTCCTCCCCTGGCTGCTGGCCCGAATTCACCGGCTCCCAGCGCTTCCCTTCGACCAGGACCTCCAGCCTCGATGGGGACTTGAGGCTTCCCGGACCCTTTAAGCCTGCAGACCCCTAAACTCGTATACTATGGTTGTTTAACTATTCTATTCATCATTAAAAAAACTTTTTAGTTCTTTGCTGATTATATGTATATTTACATGTAAGACCTCATGAAATATATATATATATATAGATATATACATGTATCTCCCTGAGACTTCCGCAGTTTAGGCCGCTAAGCCCTGAACCCCTTAAAGTGTACAACAGAACCCCTCAGGAGGGCTGCTGGGAGCTCTCCCAGTGCCTCTCAGCCGACTTCGCCCCCTTCCTGCTGGGGGCAGCCTCCTCAGATGCTGGACATAGGGTTTAGGGTTTAGGGTTTAGGACAGCCAAGCCGGGCGGGAGCATAGCCAAGCTCGTTGCAAAAGAGTTTAGGGTTCAGGGTTTAGGATTTAGGGTTTGGGGATGCAGGTTTGGTTTTTGGGAGGCTTAGTGCGACGTTTCGTTTAAATTGGCATGGACAAGGATTTTCGCTGCCCCACTCTTTCCGTCCCCCTCATGGGCCAGTCTAGCTGGACACCAGGCTTTCTCACAGGAGACTTGGGATGTTCCCCCTTATACTAACATAGGTATTATCGTACCCTGGGAGCCTCCCTTGTCGCAGCGGAGATTTGGGATCCCAGTATCCTCCACATGCCGGGCACAAAGCAAAGGTGCAGTTGCCTACCAAGAAGCAGCCTCGGCCTCATCATGTCCATTGCCATGATTCTGTCACTTATATATATATATATGTATATACAAATGTGCATATGTTCATATTGATATGTTCTTCTTATTCCAATTTATTAGGCCATTCCAGCGTGTTCTGTAAGATTCTAAGCCCCGAGCCAGATCTGAAGCATGGGCCGTTGGTTATATGAAGGGGATATAAGGGGTCCCCTTGGGGCTCATATTGGGGGACCATCAAACTACCCTTAGAGTGTAAAACCGCAGAGCCGTGCCTGCACAGTACAACCGACAGCATTCCGAGCCAACCAGGACAGGGTTTGGGGCTTGTTCTTTGTAGGCGTAGAGGTGTTCGAGTTCGCCCGAGTTTAAGTAGGGCTTAAGTCTATCCATCTTAGTGCTAAACCCCAAGACCCAATGTTCAGGGCAGGAGTCTGCCCACTTCAGTCCAGGCCGGCTGTGGCAGCTCCGCCCCTCTGCACTGCAAAGGGGGCCGAGTTTGCACCTGAAGCGCCGGGAAACCTGGCACGACACCCTGGGTCTAAGTTGCAGAGCTCTCGGGTGCGGGATTATCCTTGCATGTTCCTTGTAACTTTGCAATGTGTGGTACCAAACAGTGTTCGTGATTTGGTTTAGATAAACCTTCAATGTGCAGAAGGTGAAGTAAGTGAAGTATCCTCCGCAGGCGGCTGGGAAGGGGAAGGCTGAATCCTAGCCCCCCCCCCCCCCCCCCCTTCCCCCAACGCCTAAGAACACCAACCAACAAAAAAAGGTAGTCGCATTCCGCCAGATGGTCCGAATCGTCAATCGCACTTTGGGGCGTTTTTTTTTCGAAGAACTGGGTGCAGCTGCTGCGCATCCTGCAAGGCTGTTCTTCATGCAGGGTTTAGGGTTTAGGGTTTAGGGTTTAGGGTTTAGGGTTTAGGGTTTAGGGTTTAGGGTTTGGCCTCTACCTGAGGTTCCCGGGCTTGGAAGCGTCCAGTCACACCCCACACCCTCTGTGAAACGGTTAAGGGTTTGAGGGCAGTGAGGTCGTGGGCATTTAGGGTTTTTAGGTCAAAATCGGGACTTGAGAGAGACCTCGCTGACTAGGCGTCTAAGGAAAAACCCCCCAAACCCTTACTGCCCAGGGATGCCTTCTTGCTTCGAACCGACACCCTAAATCCCCCGAAGCACGCGCCTTGGCCACGAGTTGGCTCTGGGACTTCAAAATCACCATGCTTGCCACACTGAAGGCGCCCAAACTCAATACGATTCTGCCTAGGGTTTAAGAAAAAGGGTTTAGGGTTAAGGTCTTATAATACAGTTCATGCCGCTCTCATCGATCCTGAGGCGGCGCTGCCTCAGAGCCAGCCTTAGCCTACATCTGCAGGTGTTAAATCAGCTCCGGTCATGGTTTCAAGGGTTGGGGGTTTAGGGTTTAGGGTTTAGGGAGCTCATGGTTTCGGGTTCAGGGCTTAGGGCTTTGGGTTGAGGGTTTAGCTGACAGCAGGGGAACGTGGGTTGAACAAAACAAAGGGTTTAGGGCTTAGGGCCCTGAAGCTTCATCGAAGCGCGCTGACAAACACTCGACTATCTTGAACCAGTGCGCACACATATACGTACATATATATATATATATATACATATATGTGCGGTATGATTTAAACGAGTATTTAGTGGAGTATAATATATTGATAAACTCTGCACCATGAGTTTTGTTGCACTGCCAGGTGCCCTGGGCGTGACGTTGGACGTCGGCGTCACATCTTTGCTGGAGAGGTCGGCCAGCTTGGGGTGCGTCTGGGTTAAAAAAATCGGGTTCCTGCGGCAGACTTCAGACACCTGGATGTACAAGGGTTTAGGAATTAGGGATTTAAGGATTGAGGGTTTTCATTTTTGTGTTTTTTTTTTTTTTTTGGGGGGGGGGGGGGTTAAGATCGAGGCTGATACGCGCTCAAGGATGTTGATTGCTGGCAGGTGTTCGGGATTGCAGGCCCTGGGTGGCTGAATGTGTGCTTACCACCTTGTCCTCCCTTTCCTCTGGGAACAGCCGGAGAGGAGAAAAGGGTTTGGGGTTTTGGGTTTAAGGTTTCGGGTTTAGGGTCTAGGGTCTAGGGGTTAGGGTTTGGGACCGTTGGAAGAGGTGGTCTGGCTTCGGGGGCTTTAGGTATGCTGCAGGGCTGAAGACAGCCTGAACTTCCAAATCCAAGCCATGGCATAGTGGGCATTAGGGTTTAGGGTTTGGGGTTTAGGGTTTAGGTAGGACAAAGACGCCTGACTTGAACGAGGATTTGTCCATTTGCCTCCCATCTGGGTGCAAATAAAAATGGCAGCTTCAAGTTCTACAAATGAGATCACGGCGCAACCCTCAACGCTGAACCCTAAATAACCCTACACCCTGCAGTGCCGTTCGTCCAACTGGGCGGGAACGAACAAAAACAAATGGCCCCCTAAACCCCTCCCCCCCTCCCCCCCAAAAAAAAGCCTAAGCCCTTTGAAGCCCTAAACCCTATAGTTCCTAAACCCCTTCATCAAGCCCAACAAAGCCCTAAACCCTTTTCCAGCCCGAAACCCTAAACCCTAGCCCTAAACCCTAAACCCTACCTTAAACCCTAGCCCTAAACCCTAAACCCCCTACACCAAAGCCAGACAGATCAAGATGCACAGGTGCCTGGAGCCAATGCTGCAGGCAGTCCAAGAGAAGTTCGCTCCCAAGTGCAGTAGCTTGGTGGCTCCGAGTTTTGGGGTAGGGTTTAGGGTTTAGGGTTTAGGGTTTAGGGTTTAGGGTTTAGGGTTTAGGGTTTAGGGTTTAGGGTTTAGGGTTTAGGGTTTAGGGTTTAGGGTTTAGGGTTCAGGTTCAGGGTTTAGGGTTTAGGGTTTAGGGTCGGCAATGCTGCCAGTTGTCTGGCTGGTTGGCTCCCGCATCACTTTCTGCAAAACGTCTACTCTCCAAGAGGCAGCCGTTCATGGGGTTTAGGGTTTGTGGGGTATAGGGCGTATCGGGTTGCGAATGCGAAAGGGTTGCTCAGAATCCACTGTGGCATGGAGGCTCGGAGTTCTGCAGTTTGTGTTTGCATTCGTTTGCTCTTCTGCTATATGCGAGCCCCACGGAAACTATCAAGCTGGCTGCGAATTTTGGCTCAAGTAGTGAGACAGGGAGTCCACGAGGCAGCGCTGGACTCCAGAATCCACAGGAAGCTGTCCCCGACATACTCTGTCGTTAGTCGTCACCGGTTCGCCGCCCAGAATTCCCTTCATCTCTGAAGCAGACCAAGCTTCTAAGAACGTGCGTAAGGCTTGAGAAGCGGCCCAGACTCCAGCCACAACAGTGCGATCCTACATCCAATAGAAATTCTGCTTCAACATACCCAAATATGTCTGCACCCTGTATCCGAGACTGCACACATGCTACAGCCCAAGCTGTTTTCGGTCGCTGGTCTTCGTGCCAGCACGTAGATGCGCTTTCATGTGCGATGCGCACGCACCCGCGGCCCCAGCCGATACCTTGGAAGCGGAGAAGAATGTTGAGTTGGCTTCAAAGGCACCTTCAGAGGCCTTAGGGTTTAGGGTTTAGGGTTTAGGGTTTATTAGAGTTGCCTTCTGGTTTATGGTCAGTCAAGCCACCTGTTTTCACGGATGCGCTCGTAGGAACAAGACACCCGCCCCCCCTTGGTCGTCAGCCTACATATACCTGTTGAAGTTTCTTGGCCCTGGCAGTAATTGCGAGGAACGCATGCTATCAACATCAGGATACGAGGGTGAGGAGGGTTTGGGCTTATGGGTTCCAATGGTTTAGTTTATAAGGTTTGGACGGTTGGTTTGCAGTGTTTCTACGGTTGTTCTGGGTCAAGCGCTCACAATGGCTACTTGTTCACTCAGAGCGGCAAACGAGGAGTGAACCCTAAACCCTAAACCCTATACTATCAGACTAGTGCCCTGCAGTGCGTCCGAGACAGGTGGCAAAAAGCAACTAGATCCCAGACCCTATACCCTAAACTCGTGTCAGCCAGAGCCTCAGAGCTGCTCCATCACTCTTTCCGGAGCAGGAACAAGGTCGACATATGTCACTACTGCAGAGCTAGTCTGTACAAGACCATCAACTTCCACCACCCGGAAGGCAACCCTAAAGATTGCCCTACAGAACCCATGAATCACACGAATCAAGGAAACCCTAAACCTCACACCCGAAACCCCAAACCCCAAACCCTAAACCCTAAACCCAACACAACGCTGACGTTCCGCCCGTATTAAAAAGGTGATTCCAGTAACAAAAACCAACAGCCCTCAGAGAGCACCACCATGGAGGCGGAGTCCACCTCCGCGATCTGCCGAATCTGCTGGGAGGACCTGGTGGAGGGCGCGGACTACTTTCAGCCCTGCAGGTGCCGGGGAACGCAGCGCCCTGGACAGACTTGAGGAGTGTGGGGGTTTGGGGTTAGAGTTTAGGGTTCAGGGTTTTTGAGGGGGCTTCAGGGTTTCGGGGGCTTCAGGGTTTGGGGATTAGTAGTCTTCATTAGGCCTTGAGAGACTTGATTTGTGCAAACTGATATTTTGGGTGGAGCACCCCAGATGCCGGCGCCCCACAAGCCACAAGCACGCCCAAGAGCGTTCCTGAAACAAACTGTTGGGCAAGGTTCCCAGACCCCAAAGTACCCCACTTCAGCAAATCAAGACGAACAAACCCTAAACCCTAAACCCTAAACCCTAAACCCGAGTTGGGGGAGGGAGCGCACGTTCCGTTTGCCACCCTGGAATCCAAAACACCATCAGCCGAAAGAGATGGGCGGCACCAGCATTCCCCCTAGAGAATGCTTGTGCTGCTTCGTGCTCTAGGTAGGGATCTTGGCTATTTTATGTTTTCTCTCATTGGGTTTAAGAGGGCCATCCTATTTCTGTTCTCTGGTCATTGGGGGTGCTCCCGGCCCAGGCGTTGGGTTCACCGTTCCTGCTTCCAAACCTGGACCAAGCTGTCGGCCGTCAACACGCTGAAATGTCCGACCTGCGGCTACCAGCCCCTTCCTTTGTCATAGTTGGGTAACATTTTTCGCTGCATGAGGCACATGCTGTTGCTTCACTAAAGGGGGTCTTGAGCACATATGTTGAAGATGGTAGTTCTTCCATCCTTCATACAGGATCTTTCATGTCATCATGGCAGGCAGACCTAGACTCAGGCGAGCAGGCACGCAACACATCTTGCAACTGATGCTCATTGGCACAATCTGTCACCAAACATTACATCCCCTGTTCCCGGTACAGCCAAGGATTTGACTGAGGCTCTAGATGCTGCAGAACAGTGGCCATGGCTAAACGGTCGCTAAAATCGACCCAGAAGCACATCTTAGGTACCGCCGAGTGGTTCGGGGTTCCTGGGCGATGGTGAAAGCCATGCTGAAGGCTCACGGATATGGGTTTAGGGTTTAGGGTTTAGGGTCTAGGGTCCAGGGATAAGGGTTTAGGGTTTAGGGTTTAGGGTTTAGGGCCTCCCGAGGCTAGGTGGGGGTCGTGTCTTTTCCTGGAAGTTGTTCGCAGTCCAGTTGCAACAGGGTTTCCCGAGGCCTGCTGTGAAAGGGTTTAGGGTTTTGGGGTTTCGGGTTTTTGGGGTTTTCGGGTGCAGTCAGGGCACTCTCTTCGAAGCGAAGTCGTGGTCGTGTGCGCGCACGATCTTGACAGGGAGGGCGTTTTTGCTGGGAATGGGTCAAAGCTGACATCCACGGCGTGGCCCCCGCAGCTTCGGTGGTCAGTGTATACTGTGCCTTAAGAGCCCAAAGCCTAGTTTGTTGTCGGTTACCTATGAACCCTATCAGAAGAGCCTACAAAAAATAGGTTTCGGGTTCTTAAGGTAGGGCCCATGTAGGGTTTGGCCTTGATCAGCTGCACGAAGCTTGAGAGAAGGAGACCGTGGAAACAAGCTATTTGCTGGCCAACACAGCAACGGTGTAACTCGTGTCTCGCACTCTTTCGCTTGGGCGAGCAGCTTGCGGCAAAAGGAGAGTAAACCCGAAGCCCCTTTGCAGTCGATGGTGAGCGTGCCACAACCCTAAATCCTAAACCCTAAACGCCCTATAGGTTCATGGGTACTTATAAGTAGGGTTATAAGTAGGGTAACTATGTATTTAGGGCAATTACTTTCTCAACCTACTTATCGGTGCCCTGCACACCCCATTTACACACCCGAAATAAACTCTCATGAGGCCCTATAACAAGCCCATTAAGCTCTCACTAAAGCTCTGTATATAGACCTATATAGCCCGATGAACCCTCAACCCTGCTACGGGTTGCTGGCCCTTGCACGAACTGCTGTGGCTTCGCATCAGCAGGAAGCGGGCCGCTGGATAGTGATGGCGTCGTACTTCATTGCCACGCGGGGCCTTGCCAGGACGGGTGCCAGGGTTTAGGGCTTTGGGCGTGGGATTTGGGGCATCCCACAAGAGCCCAAAGGCATGGAATCTGAGCTGACAAACAACCCACACCCGAAAGCACGAATCTGAAGCCCTTGAAGTCATCGATTTTGGCGCAAGCCGTCCGCTTCATAGGAAGATTCACAGGAAGATTCAGGAAGATGTTCCGGTCATCAGAGGGACTGGTCTCTCAAATCAGATTACGAAAAACAACTCGTCCCGTCGGGTTTGTCTTACCGACAACACATGCACAGCAAAGTTCTCACATCACCAGCTTACACTGGCGCCATCAAAAAAGACTCCACCCACGACGAGGCATCTGACTAGGATCGGATTTCCTACGATCATGTCATGGAGCTTTGCGCAGTTCTATGTCTGAAGGATCTGACAGGACTTTTAAACGAAAGCCGAGTCATTCTTTATAGCAAGACTGACATCAACATGAATCTGCGTCGTCAAGCGCCAGCGAGAGGAAAGTCCTGGAAAAAAGCCACACCATGAAGAACATGGTTTTCTGTCTGTGACCTTCTTCACGAAGTAGTTCTGACGAGTCGCCGTCGCACCCAGAAGTCTGACACAAGAGAGCTGTCGATCGGCAAGAGAAGCTACGTCAGCTACGTGAGAGAGCCACAGAAAATAAGTGCCCGAACAATTTTAGTCTGTGGTTCTTCCTGCTGCCTCACTTTGATCCGTGACTTTCAGCTGAAACCAGAACCCCTAAACGCTAAACCCTAAACCGGAGGCAAATCTACAAGGGGCTGCTGACCGACGCGAGGGATGGCCGGCCTTTCTCCATGAACATCTTCTGGCCGACAGGAAGGGTTTACATGCGCACTTGGAGCCTCTGAGGGTAGGGTGCAGGGTATAGGGTTTTATGGGGTTTTTATGGTTTTATGGGGTCTATAGGGTTTATAGGGCTTATAGGGCTTATAGGGTTTAGGGGTTCGGGTTTAGGGTTTCTGGGAGTTCGGCTTGCTTTCAGTTCAGTGGCGAAAAGGGTTTAGGGAGCTACGGGCCCCCGCAACATTCAAAGCGCCCACTTCCTTCGTGACTCCTCGCACTTGGGAAATACATGTGCTACCATGCTCAAGGTAAGCGAAATGCCGGACCCCTTGAGGTCGTTCCTAGAATCAGGATTACGGAGTCTAGATCGCGGTCAAGAGAACTCATGACAGAGCAGTGCTTCTCAAACTAAAAGTGGCTTTCTAGGACCTTCTAGGATGCCTAGCAGTACCCAAGCCTGTGTATATTCCCTAGTGTTGTCTTATGCCCCCAACCACTACAAGAAAGTAGCTCATATAAATGCTAGAAACCCTCATTTCTTGTCTTGACGCCTGCCGCTTGGGATGTTAAGCCCCTATATACTAACAGCTCCTTATTAGGGATACTAAGAAGGGGTACTATAATCCCTACTAAGGGCTGTTAGTATATAAACCGTAAACACTAAACCCTATTCAGGACTGTTAGTTAGCATAAGGGGAATCATCTCAACCTGCCGCGCAGTATACCTCATGGATATCCGTGGCGACCCTCATGCTGGGCGACTCCTTTTCGCGGACAGCTGCGTGGCAGCCGCTTGGTTGGCAAGCCAGTTCCTTCCTGTCTTCTTACCTGGGACTCTATTGAACTAAAGCTTAGTAACTACCCTTAGTTAGTAGGGTTTAGGGTTTAGGGTTTAGGGTTAAAGCTTAGTAACTACCCTTAGTGAGTAGGTAGTAGGCAATTGTATCTCATGGAGCTGTAGGTAAACAGGGTCCCAGGTACGTCTTTTAGGGGGGCTGACTGCCTGGCCCAGGGAGTTGCAGGAGTCCCGCAACTCCTAAACCGGGATGACGTGCACACATATCGAGAAGTGTACCAAACTTGGCAACAACAAGGGTTTAGGGTTTAGGGTTTAGGGTTTAGGGTTCAGGGTTCAGGGTTCAGGGTTTAGGGCCTAAAATCCAAACCCTAAACCAGACGGAGATGGAAGCCTCTGCAAGTTTGAAGGGGGGGGGGGGGGGGGGTTCTCAAAATCATGACCCTTTGATTAAGAGATTCCCGCTAGAGTATACAGAGAGCCTTATACAGACGGCACCCCCTTACGAGCAGGAGCCGCACATTGAGAAAAGAACTCCCGCATGGCCCCCTAAACCCGAAAACCCTAAACCCTAAACCCTAAACCCTAAACCCTAAACCCTAAACCCTAAACCCTAAACCCTAAACCCTAAACCCTACTCAAGAGGCCTGCACCTTGACGTTCAAGCGGGGACTCTGGTGCCTTCGCACGCGTGTCCCCCTGGTCTGGCCGCCTCCGGTGCTCTTCCCCTCCATCTACCAGGACAAGGTTTAGGGTTTAGGGTGTAGGGTTTAGGGTTTAGGGTTTAGCACATCAGAGAAACCTGGGGCAAAAAGGGTTTAGGGTCTAGGGTTTTGCGACAAGGGGATCGAAAGGGCATGGACTCGACTACATCAAGTACGTACTTTTTGCCCATAGACCCTGTCAACCCTAGAGCCTAGGCATCTAGGGTGTTGGGCCCTGAACCCTAAACCCTAAACCCTAAACCCTAAACCCACACAGTCGCGCTGATGAGGGCATGTCTGGGGAGTTTGAACTCTTCTGGGGGAGAGATGAACATGTGAACATGAGAGGCCCTCATCCCACCTGGCTGCTGCATAGACTGACCCAGTCTCCGGAACCTCTTCCTTCCAGAATGATACTGCAGTTTGGCCACAAGCCATGAACCCACCTCCACCTGCACCTCCACGTGCGCCAGGAGTTTGGGTGTCAGACGTTTGGCCGCAAGACTCTCCCTCCCTTGGGAACCCGTGCTGACTGACAGCTTATGAACCGCCATCTTGTTCTTTTTGACTCCTCTGTTGTGGGATACTTGCAAAGGGAAGCTATGGAAAGCTTGTGCGACTGACTTGGTGTACTCGCAACCATCAAGTGGCAAAAAGAAGCATCTTTCGGGGCCCTATGCCTATTAGACCATAGACCTTGCACATCTCAACCCTCCCAACGTTGATTGCTGTTAAGGAACTAGGATTTAGGAATTAGGGAAACCATGGTTGCCACTTGAAGTACATGCTGTCCCATAGTGGCGGAGTTGAAGCCTTAGCCCGACATCCACTTCCCCCTCACACAATTTTGAAATGATACGCAATAGTGGAAATATCAAGCAGTCGTCAATGCTGATGATGTTGATGATGAAGGAGAAAAAAGCAACATGGAACAAGCCCTAAACCTCAAACCCATGGCAGAGATTGGGGCTGGAAGATCACGGGAGCCAAAGAGCCTTCTTCAGTTCCCTCTGGACCCCAATGACCTGATACCCCTCCCTAAGGTCCCTTACAGAATTCACCCTTTTCTATATTATTTGTTTTGGTAGTGTACCAGGCCCTTAACCTAAACCCTAAGCCCATGACGATAGTGAGGATCTGTCTTGTGTGTGTAAAGTCTGGAGGTTAGGTGCAGCTGGAGTACCGAGTGTATCACCTGTGCTGACCGGGTGCCTCGCCTGGTTTGTCCGCGAGTGCGCGATTAAACCCATGGCAATTCCGAGGCCGAAAAAATCTGGAAGCCCGATTCTCGAGAACAAAACCCCTCCCGACTATCTCTCCTGACACTCCTCTCCAAAGCCCCCGAAACCTCGAAGACCCGAAGCTAAAGGGAAAGAATGACCCCATCCATCCCCTAAACCCCAAACCCTAACCCCAAACCCTAAAACCCTAAACCCTAGCCCTAAACCTCAAACCCCAAACCCTAAACCCTAGCACCCCAAAAACCCCGAAATCCCTCAACCCTGGCAGCACCCAAGGATCTTCAAAGCCTGGTCCTTGCGACTCATGGTCATCTGCCCGATCTCAGCCGGGTTGGTTTAGTTAAGGGCTTAGGGTGTAGGGTTTAGGCAGAAGGGTTTAGGGTTTAGGGTTTAAGGGTTTAGGGTTTAGGGTTTAGGGTTTAGGGTTTAGGGTTTAGGGTTTAGGGCGTGGTGTCGCACGCCTCGTCCTCAGTCCGGGTTCCAAAAAAATAGTCGTAGCGTTTAGGGATTAGTGCTCATGGTTTAGAGACTTTACGCGGCTAGAGAAGTTTGCGGGGTCTGGTTTATCGGGGGCATTCGGGGCTTGCTTCTGTTTAGGGACATTATGGCATTGTAGGGTTATTTGAAGTGCTTTCTGCTTAGGGAAGTTTATCGGGCGTAGAGCTTGCAGGTTTAGGGTTGCGCCCCGATAGAGTTTGTTTCCGTTTGGGAGGTTCAGGGATGTTGTGGCAAGATTCACGCTTCGTGTTGCAAAAAAGGTTCACAGGGGTATCGGCAGACTGCCTGCGCGTTTCTACTGTGCATGCAATCCTGATTCCTAGCAACCTCATAATTACCCCTAAACCCTAAAACCCGCAAAGCCTCTTGACGGGTGGCAAAAAAAGTCATTCACAATCTCTGTTGGACGTGTTGTATGCATGCAGGGTGGTTGCGAGGCTGCGAGGCGGGTGGCCCAAAACAAGCCCTAAAACAGAAGCTGTATAAAACCTAAGTACCCCAAACCCGAAACCCCTAAACCCTAAACCCTAAGTACCCCAAAATGAACCCCTTAAGGCCTCCACAAGGGCTTCGGGGCTCCACAACAGCGCCACAAGGAGCTGGTGCTGATCCTGCACAACTACGCGGGCTCTGCCAGCCTTCTCCGAAGCTTCCCACGCGTTAAGTTTTTGCTTCTTCAGGGTTTAGGGTTTCGGGTTTAGGGATTCGGGATTCGGGTTTAGGGTTTAGGCTTTCTCCTTCCAATGCCTACTTTTTGCTGTTGGATGTTGCAGGGCAGCAAAAAAAATCAAGTGGGTCTTGGGGCTTTCCCAAGAAGGTTGAGGTGCTAGATCGTGGTTTAGCATGGAGGCTCTGGAGCGGTTCAGGGTTTAGGGTTCATGTGCTGTGCACTGAGAGCTGCAACTTCCATATCCGGCGGACTGCCCAAGCGCGGATGCAAAAGGGTTGGGGGTTTAATTCTGTAGCTTCCAGACTCGGGTTCGTTTGTTCCTGACTTAGGTCTAGCTTGGAGATGTCATCCAGCATCCCATGCTGCCAAATGGGCAAGGGGCTCGCGCAGTACGGCTGAGGATGTGCCTTTGATGCGTCCGTCAACCTCTACGCCGCTTTGGCACATGATGTGCGTTCAGGGAGGGTCTGTTTGGTATTCGGTGCGCAGTGCGGAAGCAAAGCGGAGTCCCTGCCACCTTTGGACTTTGGCACCACCTCACCTTTATGCAATCCATTTGGCTAGCCTGGATGCGGGTTTTTCCCATCATATGATTGGCACACCCGGTACCAAGATTGCAGGACGTGTAAACTAAGAAAATTGGTCAAACACAAACGACCTGGGAGTTCCTCTTCCACGGCTTTCTATTTTGCACTTTTTAGCTCTGCTGGGTCGATGGTGGTCTCGGGTCGGGGTCGGAAACCCTAAAAGCCAAAACCGGTCCGATTTATCCTAGGGATAGGCAAGTGTGAGTTTGGAGGGGACTGTTGCACGAGCTTGTGATCTCCCTGATGTGTCTTCGTAACCAATTGACGTGGTCTGGGGCCGTTCATGCTTCCGTAGATGCAGCAGGGACGTGAACGAGCGAAGTTCGATGTGAGGCATTGAGAATCTCGCAAAGATAATGTGGTTTCAAGAGGTTTTGCTGCAAAAAAACCCTGTTGTGTGAGAATGCGAGACGAGTCAGATGAGGGCATCTTGGGTGACATGTCAGCTTAGGGTTTAGGGTTTAGGGTTTAGGGTTTAGGGTTTAGGGTTGTTTAGGGTTTAGGGTTAGGGTTTAGGGTTTAGGGTTGTAGTATACGGTGGTACCCTGGGTTGCAGTGGTTATGAAGGGTTTGTGTTGATTGGGGCAGCAACTGGTATCGGCGCTAGCATGATGAACCCCATGTCTCAACGAACAGTGTGCCAGTCTAGTGCCCTGCAGTGTGTCCGGGAGGTCAGCGAGGCAGGTGGCCAAAAAAATGCTATACACCCTTTGCCCTAAACCCTAAACCCTAAACCCTAAACCCTAAACCCTAAACCCTAAACCCTAAACCCTAAACCCTAAACCCTAAACCCTGAACCACACCAAGGCCTTCGTCATCGCCAAGCACGAGGCTCATCGCAGCCTCGCCTGCTGCCTTCGGGACAGCACGCACGTGGTCTCCTACAAATCCGGCTGATGTAGGGTTTAGGGTTTAGGGTTTAGGGTTTAGGGTTTAGGGTTTAGGGTTTAGGGTTTAGGGTTTGGGGTTTAGGGTTTAGGGTTAGGATGCCGGATGTTGCTTTCGCCTGGCCCTGACACCCTAAGGGCCCTAAAGGCCGTGAAGCCTAGACCCTACGCTACAAGCTCTAGCACCCTGACTCCGGAACCGTCCGTAACCCAAACCTTACAGTAAGCCATCCAAACGTGCCTCTCGGGGGTGGCGAAAGGAAACGCCCTGCACCTGCAGCTCCAGAGAAGGGGCTAGCCTTGGGGACCAGATGAGCCCGAAAAAGGGTTGATGGCTCATACACCTTAATAGGCATTATTAGAGTCGTAAAACGGTAAATGGCCTCCAATTTTTTAGGGTTCATGTGGTCCCCAAGGACCAGGATGCCAACGAAGCCTGAGGTAGCAGGAAGCTCAAAAGGAAGGGGAGAGCATGTGGGAGGCACGTACTTTCGAGATCGCGTGCGAAAATTATATGGCCTTGATGTCTATCGCCAGTTCTGGCGACAGGTTTCAAAACCGGCGTCTCTACTTTTGACTGTATCTGGTGTTCCCCGAGCTCGCACAGCCGTTCTAAGGCACGGATTCACATCAATCAGGTGGTTTAACTAGGCTTCAGGGTATCCAGCGCTTAGGTTTGGAGACTCCTTAAGTTGTCCAGTAGTTTATCCATCGCATCATGAACATCACGATCATCGCATCATAAGGGGTTCACCAAACTCCTTTTCCCCCAATCCTCCGAAACCCATAGCATCCCAAAACCGAAGTTCATACTAACGAATAGAGGGTTTCTATGGGGTGGGGATGCCGTCCAATGGTAGCAGAAGCAATCTTCACCCTGAAGCAGCACCCCCTCAAAAATAAGCTTCAAATCATCAGAGAACACGGCTTTGAGACGCCCATGCATGCCACGCGCTGGTGAATCCCGCATGTGCGGTGCAGAGGGACGCAGAGAATTCCGAGGGCCTCCCAAAATTCAGAGCAGAAGGTTGAAGGAATGCCTCAAGTCTGGGAGTTTAGGGTTTAGGGCCAGTTTAGGGTTTGAGTTTAGGGCTTAGGGTTCAACACTGAGCATGGCAAGCCCCTTCAGGTGCCAGGTACTCGAGCCTCAGATGCTGGGAGATTGCAATGTAGTGCAGCGTTGGCACTCAAGAAGACTGCATGTCTGACTGCAGGCATGCCCTGTGTACAGCCCAGTGCGACGGAAAGAGAACATGCAGGACTTGAGGTTGTAAACGAGGGTTCTAGGGTTGAGGGTTAAGAAGCTCGCTCAAGCATCTCATGTCAGGCAAAGGCGTCAGGGACGTTGTGCCATACGTACATCTACACACGCTGGAATCCACAATAGTACTGTATGTAGAGAAAGCGGAGATTTCAGGCAACGAAACACGTAGGTGAGCGCCTTGCCATTACAGCCAGATAGTTACTGTTTGGTTTCGCCAGTGCTGGCAGCTATACCGTAAGAACCCGAAACCTACTTTTGTGCAGGCTGTTACTATCAAATCCTCTTATGAGAATCTTTGGTAACCTGCCAAAAAAAGGGGGTTTCCCGAAATTCGCGTACCTTATTGGGGTCCGTATTATAAAGGAATCCTACTTTCAAGGGGGGACGCATATTAGGGGGTCCCTTGTTTTCGTAAACCCCTTCCCTAAAAACCCTAAACCCTAAAACCCCAAAAACCCTAACCCCCAAAAACCCCCAAAACCCTAAAACGCCCAAACACCCTAAACTTTTCAGGCTCTTGGTGCCTCTTGCCAACTTTCGTCGAGCCGGGGGCCAGAGCTGTCTTGTGCGGGTTGACGAAAATCCGGGACCCCTAACAAGGGACCCCCAAAGAGTAGGGGGGTTTAGGGTTTTGGGTTCAGGGGGCAGGGTTTAGGGGTTTCAGGGTTTCGGGGTTTGGGATTCCCTCATCATAGGGACCCCAGATAAGGTAATTACCCCTAAGAAAAGGGACCCGAATATAGACCCCCGAAATTAGTACGATCCCCCTTTTTAATCAGGATCCCAAGAAGGTCCCCCTGATATCCTAAACCCCCGTATCTTTCCCGACGAGGTTGTGGCAGTGACTGAGGGAGTTCGGCACCTCATATCCCGATGACTGTGAACAAGAACCAAGACTATGCTGATGTTTTACACTCGCACCGAAAACGAAAAGTCTGAATTCCACAGCCTCTTCTCGAAACCCAAAACCTTATAAACCCTGACGCCCCTTATACAAAAACCCACTAAAAAAGCAATAGCTCTTCGAATATGAGGTGTAACCTTATAAACCCTTAAGCCCCTGTTTAAAATCCTCGAAACAACCATATAAACCCTTGGAAGTTATGAGGTTTACTCGGCCTTCCATGCTCAGTCGGACTGGACCGACGAGCGGCGTGCCTCCGTGCGATCCAGGTCCTCCGTAGCTGCATCCGAACTGATCCAAGCACCCGGTCTTGCTCTGCAAGATGTCAGCTTGTCATTATGAATTGCTTAAGAACCCACTTTATTATGTGTTATTTTTAATTGCTTGAGAAGCCACTTTATGTTTCCTTACAAGGGCTATATAGGGATTAGTTTTTTTTTTTTTTTTTGTGTGGGGGGGGGGGGAGGAGGTTCTCAAACAAATGGTAGTTAGTTCAAGGGTGAAGAGCGTGAAAAACCAAATTCATCAGCATATATTTCGACTAGGGTAACTTATTAACTCTAACGCAGTATCTGGAAGTGATCCGCTTCCAAGACCCGTTCCGATGCATAAGCTCCCAGTAAAGCAGACAACCGGCCCCTTGCCAGAAGCATGTGGTCATAAGGTGCAAAAGCAACCCAATGTTAAGTTTAAAGACACGGTAAGTCCTCAAATGTCCTCAACCATGAGCCCCAAGACCGTGAAGCCTGCGAACGCAGCTGATTCTTTTCCTAAACCTTAAACCCGAAACCCTAAACCCTAAATGTAGGGTGTATCGCGGAAGCGTCTCATTCGTGAGGGCAGCTTTTGGTTCTGGTCTGGGTTTAACCTTGCTTGATGTGAGCTCGAGTGCAGAGTCAGGTGCCACAAGTGTTCTGATTGAACATCTGTACTCCTGGCACCTTAAATTGTGCCTAATTGCAGCCGAAAACCTAAACCCTAAACCCTGAACTATGACCAACGAACCTTGCCGGCCTTGCGCGAGAGTGAGCGTCGAAACGCTACACTCGAAACCCTAAATCAGGATTCATGTGCCGGATGTCGGGACGCTGGACGCGGCGAACTGCGTGTACCTCCCAGCAAGCCTGGATGGCTGCGAGCTCGGCCCACGTAAATTTGCTGAGCTTCAACCCTAAACCACAAACACCTCCCCCAAAACTAGGGTAGGGTTCAGGGTTCAGGGTTCAGGGTTTAGTGTTTAAACCTCTCCACTTTAGAGTATATTGGGAATCGGTGGGGCAGGTTGGGGGTTTGAAGACTCCCGGAAGCCAGTGCTGCACTCGCATCGGGCAGGCAGGCAAAATGCTGGATTACTGGCTGCCAACCCCTGTACAAGTTCGTCAAACCTTTAAAGGCTCAAAATCCTCAAGCCCGAAAATGCGCCCGAAGCCCTCAACCCAGCACTCAAAACATCATGGAAAAAAGTAGGCAAAACCCTAAACAACCCTTAGCCTTGACCCCCCAATCAAGCCCCTTGAGCCCAGCAACTTCGTGTTTTGCAACCGTTCTCCTAGCAGAGGAATGGGTGAGCTGCTGGGAAGGGTGAACTTGCAGCCCTTGTGCCCTGTGGTTGAAAAGAAGGGGACTAAAACACATTGGGGTTTGGGGTTTGGGGTTTCGGGTTTAGGGTGTGGGTTTAAAGGAGCAGTAGCTCGAGCGCCATGCGTTGAGACCCGCACCTTGCATCCCCGGCCGACTGCCCCAAGCCCGGATGCAAAAAAGGGTGTGGGTTTAGGGCTTGGGGTCTGGCATTGCCCTCAGTCTGTGGTTGCCAAGGGTTTTATGGAGAGACTTTTTTCAGGCGAACAGGACAAGGGAAAACTTGTTTCAGGGTTTAGGGTGTAGGGGTTGAGGAGTTTAGGGGTCATGGGTGCTGGGAGGGGGGGGGGGGGGGGGGGGGGGGGGGGGGAGGCGACAACTTCGTAGTGCCCGACACTACCATAGGCCTGGATGCAAAGAAGGGGTATGGGGTTACCCGAGTTTGGCAGTCGTTCCGGCCTCAGTTCCCGGAGTCAAAAAAGGTTAGTGGCTAAATAACTGTTGTTCGACAGACTGCATCACAGTTCACCGTGAGACATATTTCGCTTTCGACGTTTTACTTAGTGAAGGGCCAAACGCTCTTCACCCAAACCACACCGAGTTGTAAGCACCGGTGAGCAAGCTAAGATAAGTTTAAGGCCGAAAGCCGAAAGCCTTCCATCCCTAGACAAGTCTTGTTCCAGGTACCCAGGACTTCGGGACTTTTTTGTGGACTTTCTTGGCGTCCCTGACTCGCTGCCCGGTGTCCGAGATATGGTCTGGAAATGAATTCGGAAACATTTCTTGGTTTCCACTATAGGACTCCTGATGAAGAATTTTGGGATATGGGTACACAATCATTCTGCAAGCTCACAGATGATCAGCCACACGACGGGAACCCTGCCCGAGAACCTGCAGTCCCAGCCTTGCGTAGTCGCAAGGTCGGCACAGGACTGCCTCACGGCCTTGCAGACACTTCAGAAGCGCGACGCAGGCAAGAAGGGAGGTTGGTTGAAGGAGTTGAAAGGATGATGGAAGGAGAGCCTGTCAGAACTCCATACGTAGTCTTGCCCCAATCTTACACCCTATCGTCCATCCGAAAGATTGTGCACAAGGATATGCAGCAACCCTCTTTCCGGGAATTTCGGCCAAAATGCCCTGTGGCTTTGTGGAGTTGTTCAACTCGTTGCCTGTAAGTAGAGGAACCCCCACGGGCTGTAGTCCATGTTCCCCGGAAGCACCGCTAGCCACCAGGCTCGGCGACGCAGTCGCCGCTGGTGTCCGGCCTGGAGTCCCAAAGAGGATGTGGGGGGAAAAGTGCCGCCAAAATCGCTCAATGTTCTGCCATGTCACAAGATGTAGTAGAAGATCGTTTGTTGCAGGCCTCACTCCTTCTAAAGTTGCTCTCGATGTTCATGTGCACTGCACCTTCCCTGCATTCTAAACAATCCCTAGATGACGTGTTCTGGTAGTGCTTTGGCAATTCGGCCCGAAGTTTTTGTGTCAGCCGCGTCCTGAATCTTCAGCATGTTATGGAGGTATACCGACGTTCCTGTAGTATCGGTACCTTTGGCGCAGCTCAGGCTTGTTCACGGCGCTCATGGACATGGGCAAGAAGGAGAGCTTACGCACCGAGATTCAGAAGGCAAAGGGGGCTCATATCTCCCACAGGTCCCTTTGTTTGGTTCAAGGTACTTATGAGACATGTTCCGGTTTTCCAAGATTCTATGTGAGGATACGTCTGAGCTTTATTCTTGGGGTGTGGAAGCCAGGGCATGCTGATACCTGTGCCCCAGCGAGATGGGGCCGGTCTCCGCCGCAGCCTGAGTTGTTCTCTGCTTTGGGTTCAGTTACAGCTCCGTACTGTAGAGCCCATCGTTCTTGTGGTTGCTGGCCGCGCTCTTCCCCCCAAAAAGGCCTAGAAGCCTATGTAGCCCCCTTAAATCCCCCCCCCCCCCCAAAAAAAAAAAAACAAAAAAAGCGCTCCAGACCCTCTTGAACCCCGCCCCCTGATCCCTGATTCCCTAACTCGCAAGCCCTCTAAGCGCAGCGAGGCTGGCTCCCACCCCAAAGTTGCATGCCGCGTCCCTGGCGTAGCATGCAAGGAGGTTCGGGGTCTTAAAATTATACAGAGTTACGGGGATTTTGGGCTCCAGGAGTTCAGGGCATTTGGGGGCTTAGTTGGGGATTCTGAAGTGAGGGTATATGCGGCTTCGGGCTCAGGCTCTCTCATGTTGTCCCAGGATAGAAAGAGGCGCGGAAGCACGAATCGTCTGACTTTTCTAGGGGTTGATTGAAGTTTTTTTGGCCACTCGTGACACACTCAACCACAAGAAACACACTATCTTCGAGACGCCGCCTGAGCTCCAGCTTTAAACAGCATGAAAGGGGCTTTTGACTCGAAGTGGTTGCACCGCCTTCTTGAAGATGCTGGCCCCAGAGAGAGTTCAGCAGCAAGTTCATGGTCACGCGCTGCAGCTGCAGAATTGCAGAATAGCCAGGGCGATGACAGGCACAGATAGATCAAGCCCATACTGGTTCTGTGAAGTCGCTACTGTCCGCAGTATCGCTTGCCAGGCTCGCATCTGATCACTCTCATACATAGGCGATGATGCCAGCCGATGGCGCAAGCCTTTGCTAGCGCTTCTCCACGCTTCGTGGGGGCCGCGGGGCGACAGGATTCCAGGCGCGACCATGTCAGCGTGTGCCTGGATCTGCCGAAAAGGCGGCGAGCCCCGAAGCCCCCTGACATCTTAGTTCTTGGTGGGGAGCCTTGGTGGTACCCTTTGTACCCCTTTTTTTTGGTTCTGGTTTCCCTTATTTAAAGTAACCAACCAAAAAAGAGGGTGCCCTTGTTATATCATGGTTGCTGGGCGACTAAGGAGTCGACTCCAGATGATGTGGGTCAGGGCCTTCCCTACTACATGCGAAGCCGGATGGGCCAAGGCCACTGCCGACCACACGACCGAGTTGTCCCCGGGGGCGCTGGCTCTTTGGTGAACGTCGCCAGTGACATGCCACCAGCAGGAGCCAAACACCTGCCCCCGCCGGAAGAGAACTTGTCTCTCCTGCTACGGCCCAGGTGTGAGATCCCTCCTTCGCGGCGGGCTTACGTGGCCGAGCCTGTCCCGTTGATGCACCAGGCACGACGGCTGCGAGGCCCGCCTGCGACTCCGGTTCAGCAGGTCATGGCACATCCCGCCGCGCTCGAGGCCCTTCGACCCATGATCGAGAAGCACAGGAGCCCTCGTAGTGACAGCTCGCAGACATCAAAGTCGGCTGTCATGTCTATGGTGGATCAGCTGCCTTTTGCCCGCATGGACAGATTATTGGCCGAGGCGCACGGAGCAGGATCTGTTACAATGCGGCCGAAGCCAGCCCACAGGGTGCCCAACTCCGTGGACTTTTCCCCGCACTCCGTTGTGCCAGGGCAAAGATGACCCTTATGGGCCCTACCTGGGCCTTGCAACGTAAAAAAGGGGCCTTGTATAGGGTATTTAATAGCCCATCCTGGGTCGCTGGAGATTTTTTTCTCGCACACTACGTGCCCGGCTGCCCAGCGGTAAGGTTTCACCACGGTAGGCCTTCGCGCTGAGCAAACTTGCGCAGCAAACTCTTTGACTCGCACCTGGCCACGCTCCATCAGGTAAGTCGAAAGCGGGAACGCATGTTTCTGTGCAGCTCGTGAACGATTGTTGGCGTGCTCTGGACTGCACAGGTTGATGCCTTGGATGTCAGGTCGAGTTCTAAAGTAATTGTACTCTTGCGTCATAGAGGTTGCAACTCTTGCGCCGCTGTGGCAAGCCCTCAGGAATAGGGTGTCAGACAGCACGGCCCCATCTTCATGAACAGCTTGTTGAGACTACCATCTGCTTCCCACAACCCGCACCCCGCACCCCACCCCACACCACTACCCGTCAGGATCCGTTCACTGCAGTCGGGTGCGGATTTAAGCCATGGCGACTGCTCTCAGGATGATACTTCTACCGGGCACCCACTGCAATGATGGCAGCCCTGGTGCCATGTACTTGAGCCCCGTGCCAGTGAAGACTTTCATTGGCAGGACTGTGTGGCATATCCACCTGGAGGGAGGGGGCTACTGCTACGACCAGGAGAACTGTGAGTCTCCAGCCCCTTTGAGTACGATCCAGTGCTTCGAACATTTGGGCGGGACTGCTTCACTGTCATGGCGCTTATGAATCAACATTCGGTTGAAGCTCATGTAAGCGATTCTTAAGACCATCAGCCAAGGCTCACGGCCAGTACCTCGAGTCCACACGACATCGTGAGCAGCTGATTTGGAAGGGCGGGATGTTCGCGCGCGGGGTTGGGTCGACTCCCTTCCTCTCCACCGCTGCGCACGTCTACGTCGGGCAGCTTGCTCGGTGAAGAGAGGTGTTTGGGGCAAAGGTTGGGGCTCAGTCAGAAGCTTCAGGCTGAAGTCCCAAACCCTGACATCTAGGGTTGAATCCTTATATCAGGAATAAGATGAAAATATTTAAATATCAACAACAATATGTAATATCAAAAAACACGAGTGGCAATTTAAAATCAAAAATATGTTAGCGAGGAGTTGCAAAATATCACAGTTACACTTAGACAAAAAAAGTTGTTAGAAACAATCATAGTATCTTATGAGGTACTGCAGCTCCGATTCCTGGATGGGCAACACCTCACGGACATGGCGGGGAAAGACCTGGTACTTCGAGGTTCCTTCAGCTCTCGTATGCCTTTAAGGGATACATGCCTTTGGCCCCACTCCCATTAGCATGGCCTATAATGTTGCACCCGGCTTATGTAGATTGATAGGTAGATACATAGATAGATCGATGGGGAGAGAGAGAGAGAGAGAGAGAGCAAGAGCGAGAGAGATAAGTAGTTATATGTAGGAAGAACATGCATACCCAAAGCGCTTTCTATAAATGTATTTGAAAGTTTCTCTGGTTCTGTTTGTATGAGGCTAAAGGGTGCAGGGGTTCCAAGAAGACTTGTTGCTCTGCCTGCATGACCAGGGTGCCCATATCCTGGCCACTGCAGTGAATACGCTCCTGGACCATCATGGCATGAAGGCCTTGGGGACTAAATGAACCCTAAAGGGGTCATGGTTGACATACCGCAAAAGCACAAAGATAAGTTACCAAATATTGTAAATTACTGGAATAGGAATTAGTAGTAAAGGGTAAATGACCCCAATGTTTTGGTTCATTTGGTCCCCGAGGAGGGCTAGGGGCATTAGGACTAGTACTCGGCGTCCTAGAGACGTCTCTTCTCGAGGGCCAATGATACTGTGTCCTTGGCTCTCCCGAGGAGACACTTGTTCGGACTAATTGCCGCATTGCGCATGACCCCAGATCCTTGGGGACTGAATGAACCCTACACATGTTTATGGTTCACATACCATTCTTGGACTTGTAGTAGTAAAGGGTATGCGACCCCAATTTTAGTGTTATTTGGTCCGAAGCCGAACATCCCAAGACCCTGCCAATCGAAGAAGCACACCCCGAAAATCCCTAGAGCCCCCTAAGCCCTCAAGCACCTGCGTGTGCACTTCCCAGAATGCTGCCCTGGTGCTCTTTAGCGGATGCAGCGCAGGGGGTCGAGGTGCCAAGGGCTTTGGAATTTGTTGGAGTTTGGGGTGTTTGGGCTTTGGGTCTTAGGGGTGAGTTACGACTGCTTACTCGGGTTTCGGGTTTGTGGGAGCGAGTTCAGTCTTGGGGTCTAGCTGGGGTTTTGCAGCGAGGGCTTTGTGAGTTTAAGAGTTTGGATGTGGGGGATGTTTTCGTCCCCGAGCTCAAATGGGTTTTGGGTTTAGGGTTTCATATGCTGAGGGGCTTTACAGTGTCCAAGGTCACTGACTTATCTTGCAAGGTTCTGAAGTCATGGTTCTTGGGTTTTTTTTCAGGGCTTGCATGGGCTCTCCACTCTACAGGCCCCAACTCAGGGAAGAGGATCATCTGCTGAAAGAGCCACTGGGTCCCTCCTGGCTTTCCCGTGCTTAAGCTGTTCAGGCCACAGGGCCGTTGAAGTCGAGGGGCCTGCGCTTAGCAAACCTATGCTTTTCGTATTCTTACTTATCTCCGAATTGGTACGAGTAGTAGCATTGTTATGATTACTATTTTTATGATTTTGATTGTATAATTGTTGCATAGCAGCGTATCGTGAGCCCCCGACAATCTTGAAGCAAGCCCAAAATCAACTGGCCCGAAACCCCAAGCCCACAACCTTCCCGGCAGTTCGTCCAGCTGCGCGTGAGCGAAAAGAAAAATCCTTGGGTTTAGGTTCTTTTTTTAGGGTTTACGGTTTAGGGCCCCCGTGTGAAAACCACATGGCCTGAACATGTCCGGGCTAACACCCTTCCGAGCCTGCTGCAAAAAAGTTCCCCTTGGAGGGTTTAGGGTTTAGGGTTCAGGGTTTAGGGTTAAGGGTTTAGGGTCTGGGGTTTAGGGTTTAGGGTTTAGGGTTGAAGTGCTATTCTTGCAGAGTGGCCTTTTCGTAACGAACACCCAGACTGCAGCGTTTGGCAAGGAAAGTCGAGTGTTCCAAGATCAATTGCTGAGCTTGCCTGTGCAATCCTGTAACAATCCGTGCTCAAGAAGTGATTTCCATGCAACATAGCCACAGCCATGTTTTTCCATCTTGAGCTGCTCCAGCGCTGGGTGGGTCTCGTAACTCACCTTTTGGGAGGCTGTACAGTCTGGCCTCTCTGCTCTCTGGGACATGGTTGGCGTACAGTTTATGGCTGTTTCTTGGACGCGCCGTGGCGAGTGTTGGACTTCTTCTGGGTTGATGGGCTGCTCCACTTGGACATCGGGTTGCTACTTCTGCACAACAGAATGGAAAAGCTTGATTGCGGCCGCTGGACTGTCGATGTTAGCTTCCCGTGTTTTACGTGCTGCATTTCTGACCAGAGTCTGGTACACTTTGATCGGGTCACGAACAGTTTTCCCATGGGGCGGAATTCGCGTACAGGCAACTGGTTTTCGCTTGCTCACAGGTAACCGGGTCTTTTAGCATGTGGCCACTTGTGGGTCTGTTTGTCAAACCTGGAGGCTGGGTTTTGAGGCTGTTACTTGTGCTGCGGGCTGGTGAGGGCTGAGCCCCCCTCACAGTGCCTCTGGGCACACCTGATTCCTCACGCCTGGTGAGGAGACCGCGTTTAATTGATCGCCACCTTTGCCACGTGGCGGTCATGCATGGTACCTGCAAGCATTGATGGGCATGGAGGCTCATGTCGGCGGCATTTCTTAGCTGCGCTTTTCAAATTGCCAGTGCTGGAGGGGTGGGACATTCTGCTTGCTTGGCCTCTGTGATACCTCACTTTGGCCGCCTTTTTAGGGTTTACGGTTTAGGGCCCCCGTGTGAAAACCACATGGCCTGAACATGTCCGGGCTAACACCCTTCCGAGCCTGCTGCAAAAAAGTTCCCCTTGGAGGGTTTAGGGTTTAGGGTTCAGGGTTTAGGGTTAAGGGTTTAGGGTCTAGGGTTTAGGGTCTGGGGTTTAGGGTTTAGGGTTTAGGGTTTGGGGTTTGGGGTTTGGGGTTCAGGGCCTTTCTGGAAAGGCACGCTCTACAACCTTGATGGCCTTTGCCGCCTCGTGCGGGCGTCGGTGCCCAAAGTGGCCTGCGCTGGGCTCGCAGATGCAGGTTGGTGGTTGGATAGCAGCTCGGCCAAAACTTTCTATTTATTTATTATTCTTATTTTCATATATATATATATATATCATTATTATTTATTTTATTCTATTTTTTTTTTTGGGGGGGGGGCGGGGGGGTTCCGAAAGTTAATCACTCTAGGTAGGGGTTCGGGCTTAGGGTTCAGGCTTCCTTGTCATCATAAGCCCGATAAAACTGAATCCCCTAAGCTCGCAAAGATGACACGCAGCCGCCAGGAATGACCGGAACATATCCAGAAGTAACAGCCCAGGGTTCCCGGTCTCTCTTAATCCCGACAAAACACAAGCACACAGACGAACAGCAGGATGAAGTGCTTTATGGTTTAGGGTTTAGGGTTTAGGGTTTAGGGTGATGACCCTTCTTTCCAGTACAGGGTTGCTCTGGGCAAAACACTTAAAACCCTCAGCGACAAAACCCTAAATCCCATACCCCCCTAAACCATGCCTATGCCCTAAAACCCTCTAAGTCCTAAACCCCCTAAGCTCTAAGCCCTCCTAAGCCCTAAAAGGTTTCGTAGTCCCAGGTTCCGGTCGCTCCGGAGTTGGACTCGTGCAGTTTGAGTTTGGGGTTCCAATCTACGGATTCTTGTCGCTGATTCCTACCGACCCCCTGATTGGTAGGTTTAGGGCTTTTCCTGAACTCAAAACACAGCTCCACGCCCTAGACACAGGGACGGTGGAGTGCGCAGGTGTGTCGACACCATCTTCTGAGAGAGGCGGAAGGGTTGTCCGAACAAAGCAGCTGGTCAACTCTAGGAGTCACATCACATCCCCTTCAGCCCAAGCGACCCAAAGCCATGATCCCCAGAGCTGCAACCGCCCGAGCCCCAAAGCCGGAGCCCTTTACCCTAAACCCTAAACCCTAAACATCACTCGCGTGGCTTGTGTGTTGTAGGGACTTAGTGTGAGTTGGAGTTTTGTGTGAGTGACAGTTGCGGGATGGGGATGCCTCGGGGCCCTTTTTGCTTTCTGGTACACACGAGAGAGACCACGATTGTTCCCTGCGGAGTGATCTCAGAGGGGTCAGCTAGGCGGGTGGCAAAAAAAAACCCTAAACCCCAAACCCCAAACCCTAAACCCCCTAAATATAATTACTCGTTTAAAGTGCCCAAAGCCGCGGACCCTCAGATGGCGAGCTTGTTTGGGAGTCGGCCCTTCGGCGCGCCACGCTTCTAGGGAGCCGCGTAGCTGAAGGATGGCACGGGGTGTAGGGTTTAGGGTTTAGGGTTTAAGGTTTAGCGTTTAGGGTTTAGGGTTTAGGGTTTAGGCCTTGTAAGGTTTGAGTTGGGATGTTCCCCCCCTTTTACCAACTTTTTCATAGGGGGGGAACTACAATCCCTATTTTAAGGGGGAACATCCCAAGGTTTGAGTAGCAGCTGGAAGGAGAAAGGGAAAGAGAGGAGAGCAAAACACAAAGCTTACAGTGTTCAGGAGTGATGTTTGCATTCAGGATCCCCCCCCCCCCTCCCTCTGCCAACAAAGAACGTAGTGGAGGCTTAAGACTGGACATCAAAGAAAGGGTGTAGGGCCTAGTGTAGGGTTCAGGGTTCGGGGCCCTAAGCCCTAAACCCTAAACCCTAAACCCTAAACCTTAGGGTTTAGGGTTTAGGGCCCCCAAACCCCCCCCCTCCCCCCCAAGAAGCAGAAGCAGTCCTCTGAGGCCAACTCTGGGGAGGCTCCACGCTCTCCGAGTCGGTGGAGAAGTGCCGAAAACAGCGGGGGTGGCATCCGGGGGCCGAGTTCGTGGAAGGAGGGGTTTAGGGTTTAGGGTTTAGGGTTTAGGGTTTAGGGTTTAGGGTTTAGGGGCTTGGCAGGGATTTTCAAGGGTGTAGGGTGCTAAGGTTTAGGGTGGGCGAAGTCTTTTGGAAAAGGGTGTTAGGGTTTCGGGTTCAGGGTTTAGGGTTGTGCAGGCCTGAGAGACCTCGTTCAAAGGGGGGTTTAAGGTTTAGGACTTAGCGTATTTAGGGTTTAGCGGGGGCGAGGTAGTGGTCCCTATGTGTTTTTTTCGAAGGGCACGCAGGTCTTAGACATGAGCGGCTCATATGGGGCTCGCCGCAAAGCTTGGCCAGGTTGCAAACTTCAGGTTTCCGTGTCGCTGCGAAACAATTTGGGTTGATAGGGTTTCTAGGGCTTCTAGGGCTTCTAGGGCTTCTAGGGTTTCTAGGGTTTCTAGGGTTTCTAGGGTTTCTAGGGTTTCTAGGGTTTCTAGGGTTTCTAGGGTTTCTAGGGCTATGGTTGAAAGGGTTCATAGAGTTTAGGGTTTAAGTAGGGTCTAGGATCGTTTTTTCTCGCTAGGCTTGAATACTGCTCCATCCCTTGCGCCCATCTTACTTTAGAGAGATCAACACCTGCCAACCACCCGGACCCTACAAACCTCATAACTTGGGATGTTCCCCCTTTATACTAACAGTCCTTAATTGAAGGATTTGAGGGATTATAATGGGGGATACCATCATCCCTACTAAAGATATTAGGTACCCTAAACCCTAAACCCCACAAGCCCACAAAATGGAGCCAACCTTCGATGCTGTCGCCAGGAGTCGACCTCGGGCTCGGATCGCCGAACGTCAGCAGCATCCTGCCCGCCATATGGGGGTTTCCGACTTTAGGGGGAGGGTTTTAGGGTTTAGGGTTTAGGGTTTGCCTGTGAGAGAGAGAGAGAGAGAGGGTTTAGGGTTGAAGGGTTTAGGGTTTAGGGTTTAGGGTTTAGGGTTTAGGGTTTAGGGTTTAGGGGTCCTTGTTTTTTTTTGAGGAATCCTACTATTTGGGGGTCTATATTGAGGGCCCCGTTTTCGTAAGCACCCATATTTCAAGCGACCCATATGGGGGCGACGTAAAGCAACCTACATACATGTGCATTTCCCCGTGTGCTAACAGTCCGCAGTAGGGATTATATAGTATCCCCCGTGGTATTCCCGATGAAGGATTGTTAGCATAAGAGGGAAGATCCCAATACATACCTTGTAAAAATGGAGGTACCTAAGCCCTAAACCCTAAACCCTAAACCCTTGCTACCTTAGGTTACTCTGGGTGAGCAACGTTGGGGCTCATTTGGTCCCCAAGGAAAGAAGACGGGTCCCGCTTGTTTAGCCAAGAGCTCGACATGCCTTCGGTGTCCAGTTCATGGGTTTAGGGTTTAGGTTTTAGGGTTTAGGGTTTAGGGTTTAATGTTGGACCTGATTTATTAGGGGGGTCGCTTTAAAGTCAATTTGGCGGAATTATTCAGGACCCCCTCACTGTTTGAGGGGTCCGCTTTAAAGTCAAACCGTCCGGGCGCCGTAAGAAAATTCCACGTGGCGCGCCTTTAAACAAGATAACCGGGCATTGCTGCCCCTTTTAAACATATCTAAACTCCACCCTATTAAAATCATATAAGCCCCCGGGGCCGTGTAATCAGGACCCAATCCACGCCCCGACTGTTCAGGGGGGGGGGGGGGGGGGGGCCCCACATTAAAGCAGGTCCCACATTAGGGTTTAGGGTTTAGGGTTTAGGCTTTACCCCAAATCCTGAGAATCCCTGAACCCTTGAGAGACCTGACCGGGGTACTTCGAGTCAATGGAAGAGAGCTTCAATTGGCCCAAACCTCAAACCCTAAACCCTAAACCTTAAAACCCTAAACTCTTTAAACCCTAAACCCTAAAGACCCTTGTGTCCCAAGGTTTCGATCCATGTTTGTTCGGCCCGGTGCTGTCCAGCTTCGTTCACACACCCCTGCTCCTGGCCATGCAGCGCCCCGGATGAAGGGGTTTAGGGTTTAGGGTTTACGTAAGAGAGCCCTCCGGCCAAAGGGTTTAGGGTTTAGGGTTTAGGGTTTAGAGGAGTTAAGTTAAGATTGGTCGTGGGGCTTGGAATTCTTGCTTCGGGTCTTTTGCCAATGCTTGGGATTCGGGATTTCTTGAGTACGAGAGATTTGTGGGATTGCGTAGAGCGAGCGTGGGTCTTTCAATCCCATGAAAACCTGTTATCCCTAAACCCCAAACCCTACATGGACACGTGCACCAAGAACCCTGAAACGTGTGAACTTGAAACCCTAAACCCTGAACCCTAAACCCCTGTGCAGTTCTGCATCGCCAGGCTGAATGATTGGTTCCAGTTCGATCATCTCGAAACTCGTCCTGAGTTTCTGTGTTCAGGCGGCCGAATTGGTTTTGTTAGTTGGGCTTTGGATTTGAAGGCTAAAGGATTTGGCTTGCTGAGAAGTGACAACTTGCCATGTGCGCATTGCACCCAGATGGCTTCTGACCTTGTTATGTGCAGGGTGGCAGCAGGTGCTGTGCCCCTTAGCGAGCTCAACGCTAAGGCACGAACTTCCGAACTAAACCCTGAAACACACCTCACGGCTAAAAAACCTTCATGAACAAAGGGTTTCAAAAAGGTTGTTAGAAACCACTGGGAAAACATCCATTGTTGTAAAAGCCATGTGGACGAAGAACTTGCATGTCTGCCGGCCGGCGCCATGTAAGTGGCCGATCCTTATGTTGCAACCGTCTCAGCCCCAAGGAAGCTAAGCTGCATTCAGGCTCCAGAAGCTCTATTGTCCATTCAGGCCTTACCTACATGGGCTATTATACCCTAGAACCCTTTAAAAAGGCCCCTTATGGGGTTGGTTATGGGGATTGTAAGGCCTAAAGTAGCCCATGCTGGTCTGAGGGCTTGTTGGAAATGCGCACAGCCCCATCAGAATCCCAGAGTTGTACAAGCGAAGCACATCTCCCAAGGCGAGAGATCTCCACAGCGTCTATTTCGGTGGTCAACAGGGTGGCCCTGTGAGCAGACAGGACATGATGGCACCTGGGACTGCATTCGTGACGGTTGCAGGATTCGGGATTTATAGGTTCAAAGTGAAAATCGAAGAAGGGCATTTCTTTTGAACTCGAAACTCCAGCAGTTGGTATACTAGGGTCTCAGTCACGGACTGGTTCCGCCTGTTTCGGCAATGTTCATCTCGGATGCGCCTGCGGATGCTCAGCCACGGCTGGTTGAGAGCCCGTGCGGTCGGCTAGCAGTAGCCGCAGTACCCAACAGGAGCAGAGGTTGGTTGGCCCCAAAACATAAAGAACTTCAATTGAATCCCCTCAAGACCTGGATCCCCCAATTCCTTTAGGGTTTGGGGTTTGGGGTTTAGGGTTTAGGGTTTAGGCTAAGCCTTAAACCCTTTCCGCCACTCCAGAGACCCCCCCCCTTTGTCCGCCAGATCATGGGATCGCTTCGCTCGGAGCTGATGGAGACTCTCCGGCTTGGAACGGAGATAAGCAAGGCACATGTTATGATGGGGGGCATATTGGTTTCGGGTGTAGGGTTTAGGGTTTAGGGGTTCCGGGCTGAGGGGCTTATCAGGAGTCCCGGCAAGCTTGTCCGAGTCTGAGTTCAAAAGGGGCTTTACAGTATTGATTGTAATCCTGTAAGCAGTATTGGCTTTGTTGGTTGAGATCTGAGCCCATGAATCTTCCAGCTCCTTAGACATCGTAAGCGTTGTCCACTTTGGATGACCCGCAGTCGCCTTAACAGACCTAAAAAGTTGGGATGTTGCCCCTTGTACTAACAGCTCCTTAATCGGAAGCAAAATGGGGGCTAGTACACTGTTAGTAGAACGGGGAACATCCCAACCCAAAAGGCATATGTTTCAGAACCCCCTTATAAACAGCACAACAGGCCTTTTGTAACAAGGGCAGGAAAGCCCCACCCACCCAACCTCCCCCAACACGAACCGCCCACCCTCCCTGGTCGAGCAGCATAAGCTCAGCAACATCCTCAACCTCAACTCCTCAGTAGCTGATTGAGCACTTTGCACTTTTTGGTCCCCTATAGAACTGAAAGTGTACACTCTTTTGGGGCTTGGGGCTTATGAACTCAGCAACTAAGACTCAAACGTACGAGCCCCTCCCCTCAACAATTCCTATTTCCCAGTCGATCAAGACCGCGCTGGTATGTTGGGTTTGTAGGTTTTTTTTTCGGTTTTTATAGGGTTTTATAGGGTTCACACGGTTTATATGGTTTTTAGTTAGGATCTTCTGGCAGATTAAGCCCAAAGGATCCATCCTTACAGGGCCTACTTCGACAACGTGTCGCGCTTAGGGTTTGTATGGTTCGGCACAGCACTGTTTTGACAGGACAAGCTGCGGCTGGTGTTCGCATCGGCGTGCTACGGACCCTTGGGTGTGGTTTTACGTGTGTCTGACTGGGTTGCTGCGTGGCTGGGTTGCTGTAATGAAGTTGCCAAACAATAAGAAGGAGAACATACAGTGTACTGTAAATATTATAAAGTCGTAGCTTTCATAAGCTACCTAACAGCAACGCAGATGACCGTCCAGCGTGATACAGTCTAGGTAGGCGTCTGGCGTCAATCAGGGCCCCCTGGAAGCCCGAGACCTTCAAGCCACCACTCCGAGAGCCATCCGCTGCCCAGGGCACTGCATCACTGAATCCAACAGCTACTACACCGTGCGCCTTAAAGAGGGCAATGGGAGAGGCTTCTTGGCGTTTCGAGCCCCAAAACCGAGGAGGTTAGGGCTTACAGGGGCTAAGACTCTGGGATGTGGGGTTTTCAACTACCTTTCAACACGTTACAGGAAGGTTGCCAGGACAAGTGTGCACCTCCTGTTAGGATCCGCCGAAGAATCTTCGTTTTGGCTTTCGTTCCGCTTGCCGCGAGATTGAAGCGACGGACACTTATTCATCTTTGCAACCTCCAACGCTGCACCACGCAATGGACTTGCCGAGGTGAATTTTCACCCATTACCACGGACCCCCCTATATCCCTAAACCCGAAACCCTAAACCCTAAGCCGCAAGTTGTGATGATAAGGGCTTTTCGCTGATGCCTGTGTGTAAGGCCAAGTTGAGAGACTCCCCGAGTCTGAACTCCCACTGTTCCCAATATGTCACAACCTGATGCCACCGGTAACTTGTCTTGGCGTGAAGCTGGGCAGGCTTTCTCCGAAGATGTCGACTACAGTAGACTCTGCAGTGCTGCGGCCAATCGGGTGGCAAGAAAGAACCCAAACTCAAGGATCAGTAGCTCAGGGCAGCATCGGCTCAATCGGTGTTCGGATTCGGCAGCCGTGCAATGCCTGCGCCGCACTTTTAAGATTTTCTAAGGTTTCTCCCTCAACGACACCACCACCCTCTTCCTCAGCGCAATCCTGGGCTGGGAGCAGGTGCCCTCCCAGGCCGCGAGCTTGGGTTTGGGTTTACATATCCAGGGGTCCCCTACAGGTTTCCCTGAACCCTAAACCCTCCTCGTTCGGGGATCATCCGATAAGACTGGAACGATACAGAGAAGAGTCGCATGGCCCCCGCGCGAAGAACGACACGCAAAAACAACCTCCTTCTTTGGGATGTTCCCCCTTACACGAACAGTCCTGAATAGGGAGAATTATAGTACCTCCCTAAAATCCGTATTAAGGGCTGTCTGTATATAAGGGCAAATCCCTTTTCTGGACTGTCAGTAGAAGGGGTAACAGCTGCGCAGCCCGCAGGCCTTCATCGAGCAGGACCAGTGCGGGACCCTGAACTGCAGCAGCGGCTGCGCGCCCCGCGAGCTCTGGAAGGCCCTGCTTCTTTTGTTTGGGGGCTCAATGCACCCTAAAAGGGTTCATGGTTCATATACCTTAATAGCAACTAGTAGTAAATGCACCCTAGAAGGGTTTATGGTTCATATACCTTACTTGCAAGTAGTCGTAAAGGGCAAAAAATGACCCCAATTTTAGGATTCATGTGGTCCCCAAGTTCTTTGCGCGCTTAAGGATTGCATGGGCTGGCCTTGGGGGGGGCAAATGAACCCTCGAAGGGTTCTAATATCCTAAACCCTACGAACCAGTAGGGATTGCGGTAGAAAAGCGAACCCTAAGCCCTAAACCCTAAACCCTAAACCCTAAACCCTAAACCGGACCCCAACTGTTGGGTTCATTTGGTACCCAAGGTATGGCTTGCTAAAAGGTGGGTCAGGGAGGCTTCAAGAGATGAAGATCTCGTGAGGTGGCAAGAAAGATATGGGGAGAGAGCGGATCGAAGAAGGAAAGGGGAATAGAGGGGTCGGAATAGTGATTAAGAGTATTCCCTTGTGGTCCCTATAGAACTATGCGACAGTACCCCCCCCCCCCAAAAAAAAACCCTATTCTAATTGTTCAGGCCCCTGTGTTACGATCATGGTCCTGGTACTCCGTACGGGGTAGGGTCGGTACGGAGGAAGTTGATCCCTGGACTTCGGTATCCTTCAGGGGGTTTAGGGTTTAGGGTTTAGGGTTTAGGGTTTAGGGTTTAGGGGCCCTTGTGATACCCGGTTCAAGTGTGGGCTTTGCAAAAAAATTCCGACGCATGTTCTGGAGCACTGCACGGCTTCGACTACGTAGTGTTGCGCGCAGATCATTCTCAAAACGCTCGGGAAGTACGGCCTCCTTCCCTTCTTGGCGATTTGCACCTTGGACTTCTTATGGCTATCCCGTCCAAGGTTACCTCACATACTCTGAAGATACATACCCTGGGGGACTAAACGACGCCTCGAAGGGTTTATGGGTTAATATGCCTTAGTTAATCGGAATTATAGTAGTCGAGGGTATATGACCCCAATGTTGGGCTTCATTTGGTCCCCAAGGTATTGAGGCGAAGGCATTGTCAAACTCCGAAATCTGGGTAGCGAGAAGTCCAATCTCTGTTCGGGGTCTTGAGTTTAACCCCCTGAACCCTAAGCCCGATAGTATAAACCCTAAACCCACTTCGAAAGCTGTGCCCAGGCCTGCTCATTCGCCTGTGCCGCCCGGCCCCTGCGAAGATCCAAGCCCGAGGGCAAGCTGATTCGCCTGTGCGAAGCCGACGATAGCGCCGCAGGAACCTTAAGTGGGTCTAGGGTCGAGGGTTCAGGGTGTAGGGTTTATAGGGTTTATAGGGTTTTTAGGGTTTATAGGGTTTAGGGTTTGGGGAAGCCAGTTGCAAAAGGGTTTAGGGAAAGTCCGTTGCTCAAAAGGGGTTTAAGTTTTAGGGCTTAGTGTTTAGGGTGACGAGGAACATATGGCGTAGCACATTCTGGGTTACAGCTGGCCCCTCTGCAGGTTGCTGTATGGGTTGGGGCGAGGAAGAGTGCCTTAGAGATTATTTCGTTTGTTACTGCCAAGGCTGCAGGGATTGAGGTCTTGGGTTAAACTGTCGATCTACAAGGGGTTGTATACTCGATGGCCCCCAACCTCTAACCCTCTGTCCTAGAAGCGTGTGTGTCGCAGAGCGCGGGAGAAGGCGCGCAGTCGAAAAGCGCTGTGCGTGGCTTGGGGTTCCGAGGGGACCGACAGAACCCTGCAATGGGGGTCATGTACCCTTACTGCTTGCATTCCTATGAAGGTATATAGTTCATTCTGTGTCTTACAAAGAGCCTTCCGGGTTCGTTGAGTCGTTCAACTTTCCACCTCCACCTTCAAGTTAAGCACTCCCCCAGTATGTGCGTAAGCGAACATCAGTTGGAATACTTAAGATTCGGGAGTGGAGGGTTTTGATCCGAGGGAGGCAGGGGGTTTAGGGTTTAGGGCTAGGTTTAGGGTTACGGAAGACAATGGAGTTTTCAGGGCGGTTTAGGGCTTGCTTCTTTTGGAACGAACAGAGGCCTGCTTTGCCATTGAGGTCGCAACTGGTGTGGGCAGCTGCATCTGTTCTTGTGCTTTGGGCCCGAGGCTTTCATGCAGCCAAGCTCCACACAAAGATGTCTGGTGGGAGCCCCATACACGATCTTTTGTACATGTGTATGTGTCATCTTGTTATGGCAAGACCAAGCCGTCAAACCTTCACAGCCCTTCAAAGGCCAGGATGTTCAGATGAGCCTTTGACCTGAGCCATGTCGCACTATGATCGTTACGGTCCGGAGCGATACGACTCTCGGTATGATCGCTCTGGCCCATATCAGCCCCCTCCTCCTGAGCCGCAAGATCGCCAACCCTACTGGAGACACAGCGGTGGTCGCGAGGATCCGGACGCGAGGCGTTCCAACGGCTATGAGGGGGAGGTGCGAGATCCCTACGCTGGTGTGCCCACCTCGAGGGCGGGCCAGGACCCTTACTTAGATGCAGACAGGAGATACAACCCATATGGGGACCCGGAGCGAAGGTATGATGACCGGGATTACCGCGGCTATCCCCCGCCACAGCCGCCGCCGGGATATGATCCCTACTATGACCCATACCGCCAGCACTACCCTCCACCGCCCGGAGCTTATGGAGGAGGTGCCTACGGAGGAGGTTACTACCCACCGCCCGGCTACGGGCCGTATGGTCCTCCACCCCCAGGATATGGCCCGCCCCCACCAGGGTATGGATACCCTCCACCGCCAGGCTACCCCCCGCCTCACTACCCTCCACCACCCAGGCACCTTGGCCAAGCTCTCCGAAAGCGCTTAAGGGTTTAGGGTTTAGGGTTCAGGGTTTAGGGTTGAGGGTTTAGGGTTCTTAGCCCATAGAAGTAACGCTCGACATGTTTCCCAAATGTGCACTGAAGCCCTGAAACCCCCTAAAAACAACCTGCAGAAGCCGAACAAGAAGCGTGCCAAGTCGTTACTAGATAGGACTCGACTTTTCCCAAACTCCAATCCCATAACACAGCCCGAAATCAAAACACTGTCCAACCCAAAACCCTGAAACTGACTCCGGCCGAGAAAACCCTAAAACCCTAAAACCTACAACCCTGAACCCTGAACCCTAAACCTTGTCCAGGGCCTACAGCCCTGAGCCACAGCGCGACCCGCCTCCCAAGCGGGGCGGCGGGAAGGGGCAAAAGTCTAAGAAGGAGCCGAACGCCTGAAAAGAGGGGTTTAGGGTTTAGGGTTTAGGGTCTATAATTTTAACGCTACGCGACCCGCCTCGGCCCGGCCCAGCGCATCCGCGTGAGCATGGTGATTCCACAGCGCCCAAGTCGCTGGACCCCAAGCAATAAGGGTTGGGTTTAGGGTTTAGGGTTCCGGGTTTATTGTTTTATGGTTGGGGTTTAGGGTTGAGGGTTAGTTTAGGATTGAGGGCTGAGGGCTCAAGCTTTGGGGTTTTTTTGGGGTAGGGTTGACCCAGGCCCCTCAAAAGGGGTGGGGGCAGGGGGAAGGGGGGAGGGGTGGGGGGGGGGGGTGGGGGGGGCTGGGGGGGGGGGGGGGCCGAAAAAGGGCTTTGGGGGGGGAGGATTTGGAGGGGGGTGCCTGTTCTGACTACCAATACACCTCCGGCCCGAGGCCTCGGCGGATTTAGGGTTCAGGGTTCAGGGAATAGGGTTTAGGGTTCCGGGTTTCGACTCTCACGCTCACACACCGCGGGGTTTCGGGTTTGGCGGGTTTTGGGTTCAGGGTTGATTCCCGGAGGGCTCGCGAAATCAGCCGAAGCAGAAAACAGTAGGTTGTTTTCTGTTGTTATGGAGTGGTTGGTGTTGGTTCGAAGTAAACCCTGAAAGAAAACCAACCCCCCCCCCCTCCCCCGGCAAAAGCAAAATAATGAACATCCAAAAACGACTCAACCCGAAGGACTGAACTCTTACGGGACCACCACGTGCACGGAAACTCTAAACCAGAGCTCCCAAAACCCTTCACTTGGGACCCCGAAACCCGGCAAAGCAAGATCCGTAATCCCCAAGAATAAACCCTCACGCCTCAAACCTCCAGAAAACCAGAAACCCTACACTTGAGACCCCGAAACCCCGGTAGCCGCAGATAGCCGATGACCCAGGTCTTCTTTGCCCTCACTTACCTTCGACCCTAAAACCCTTAACCCCCCAATCTTCTAAACTTTCAACCCCCTAAACACGAAACCCGAACATCTGAATATGAAGCTTCCGCCCCTAAATTCCGGTCTTCCGAGCAGGACAACAATTCCGGCCGCGGTGGTGGTGGTGGTGGTGGGGGCAAGCGGAAGCGAGAGGCTCTCGAATCTTAGCCAGTAATTTGGGTTTGTCCCTACACTCTATACCCTTAAACCCCCAATGCCAAAAGTCCTTGCTTCTGGAGTTTGGGGTTTGTAGGGCTTTGGGTTTCTGGGGTATATAGGGTCGGAGTCTGGGTGGATCTTCTGAGTTTCGGATCTCCACAGTCACAGACTTGTGCGTCAAGAACGCGCAAAGTACCTGGCAGAAGTGGCAAGAGTCAATCCCAAGGGTTTAGGGGCAGTCATGCACTCCCTAAACCCTAAACCCTGACGTCCTATGTGTTTGCCGCCCAGCAGTGCGCCCATGAAAACATGAACATGAGGGGTGGTCTCACCAAGTGCGAGAGAGAGCGAGAGACCCTAAGCTCCAAAGCCTAAACCCTACAACCCCCCCCTTTTAGGGGGGGTGTAGGGTTTAGGACTAAAGGGTTGATGGCAGCAAAGGTCCAGTTCCCAATCCTCTTGGACCTCAGCTCCGGGATCCAGAGGTTTAGGATTTAGGGTTTAGGGTTTAGGGTTTAGGGTTTAGGGTTTAGGGTTTAGGGTTTAGGGTTTAGGGTTTAGGGTTTAGGGTACAATAAAGGAGTTGGGATCCAGAGTTTGGGTGGGGCAATCCAAGGGGCTTTTGGGTTGATGGTCTAGAGTTTAGATCCCCCAACCCTAGCCCAAACCCTAAACCATCGTAGGCCCTGCATCGAGATCCTAAACCCTTCACTCTCAAGAACAGCGTCCGGCCCTCATCCCCCCAATGTACAGGCCTCGCCGGAGAACGTGCCGATGGAAGCGGGGGAAGTCCGGCTGAACTTCTCAGAGGTTGGCGGTAAGGTTAAGTCCTTTAAATACCAGGCTTAGGGTTTAGGGTTCAGGGTTCATGGTTTAGGGTTTAGGGTTTGGGGAGTTTAAGTTTAAGCTCTATAGGTTGGGATGTCCCCCCTTGTGCTAACACTCCTTAGTAGGGATTATAATCGGGGGTACGGTAGTCCCTACTAAGGGCTGTTAGCATAAGGGGGCAACATCCCCAGCTATAGGGTTCAGGGTTTAGGGTTCAGAAAATGGCCTTAGTTCAGGGGTTTGCTGGTTAGGTTTTGTTAGGGTTTGCTGGGGCTCTGGGTGTGTAGGGCGCCAGATATTGATGTCTCCGTCCATGGCGATGCAACAGCTGTAGCAACCTTCCAGTCCATGAGCGTCAGCAACAGACATCATAAATCTAAGCCAAGCTAAGCCAAACAAATCGCGCATGGCACCTGTAAACCCTAAACGTCCTGAAAGCCCGAACCTCCTCAACCCTAAAACCCCAAACCCCTAAACCCCTCAAATCCTAAACTCTCAACTCCTAAATCCCAACTCCCCAACTCCCACCCTAAGCCCTAAAACTCTAAGTTCTAAGCCCCGAAGCCTAAAGAAGCCCTATAAACCCTAGAACCCGAAACCCTAAACCCCTACAACAACGAAACGCAGTCACTAGCAAAAGCACCTCCACCTTGAAGGCCATGTCCGAAACGAGAGTACTCCTAGGCAGTTTGATGACAGTTAGGGTTTAGGGCTTAGGGTTTAGGGTTTAGGGTTTAGGGTTTAGGGTTTGGGGCGTGAATACAGGGGGTTTGAAATGTGATATTTTGACGTGGCTTGAAAGTACAGCGCAGAGTGGAAAGGCTCATAGGGCCCGCAGCGCAACGAGGGGTGATTTCTGTGCAGCTCTCACCCATTACTTGTTGTAGCCCCTTGGGAAAGTCACTTTTTGCGCTGCAAGGCATTCTCGTGGATAAAGGCCGGCATAGATGAGTGTGCTTGAACTCGTACCCATCTGGTTTGTTGTTACTTAATTGTCAGTTAGATGATGGGATAGGTGATCTCACGGGCCTCTTCCTGCAAAGCACACATTTGAGTGGTGGTGAGTTGTCCGAAGTCTACCGGCGTCCCGAAGTGTTACCCCTGCGGTGTGGCTTGGTCTGCTTGGCGGGTGGCAAAAAAATAGCCTAAAGAAGCCCTAAACCGAGAATCCCTAAACCCAGAACCCCTAAACCCAAAACCTATAAGCCTATAAACCTATATGAACCTATAAGCCTACAACCTATAAACCTATAAACCTATAAACCCTAACAACCTAAACCCTAGATCCCTGGAGGTGCTTCCCAGATTGGTCAAGGCTGCCCAGGAGCAGGAGGGGAGCCGATTCCTGCAGTGGAAGCTGTCGGGAAACGCGAGTTGCCCACCTGAGCTTGGGGTTTAGGGTTTAGGGTTTAGGGTTTAGGGTTTAGGGTTTAGGGTTTAGGGTTTAGGGTTTAGGGTTTAGGGTTTAGGGTTTAGGAAGGTTTTGGGCTTAGAGGTGGGTTCGCATGGGCTTAGGCAACCATAGGTTTGGGTGTTGTTTGGGGACCAGGCGTGGATCCCCACTGCCTGCTGTAAAGCTTAGGGTTCAGGGTTTCGGGTTTACAGTTTAGGGTTTATGGTTCAGGGTTTAGGGCTGAGTTGTAGGACACCCACGGAGGTGGCATTGGCATAGCCAGGAACCATGCTAAATAGCACTACACATGGAGCTTCGAAATTGGTGAGAAGTTGAAGCCGCGACTCTCACCTCTAGGTTTCGAGGTACCTGGCATGGCTTGTGTTTCACGTTTCCGGGTTTAGGGTTTAGGGTTGCATACTATCAGAAAGTGGGTTTATTAGAACTGTGGTTTCATGTCTCTCTGGCTTGGTACTAGGGGAGCTTGTTCAGCAATCAAGGCGATGAAGAGCGAACGCAGATTTTCGAGAAAGTGCTGCCTGATGTCGTCCAGCTGGCCAATGATGCGTTTGGGAGCTTTGGCCACACTGAACCCCACTTTTGGGTACGTCTTGGCTCTCAGTTAGGGTTTAGGGCTGTTTTAAGGTCTGTGTGGAATTGCTACCTCCACGGGTGCTCAGGGATGTTATGGGCCGGTAAGGGCTCATTGAGGCTTCCTTGGCCCTTGTTTCACCAGGGGTTCCTTCAGAAAAAGTTCCAAGATACCACAAATCCAGTTGCCTTCATAGGCAGTACTTGGGCCACAAAGTTTTTGTCTACGCTGCTTTGTCTGGGTCTACGATCCCACAATAACTAATAGCATGGGGGATTTACTGACCTCAAGGCCTCCGCCCTCCCCAGGAATTTTGTGGTGCAGAAGCTCTTCGAAGCGGGGAATGATCAGCAGCTGGGCGACTTGGGACCGCAGGAGCTGAACACATGCTCACCCCCCTCCCTTGCCCCCCCCCCCCTCCCTACAGTAATAAATATCAACCAAAATGCTACTTCTTGCTTTTGCGGGAATATGTGTATATGTAGATATATGTATACACACGTGTGTATTCATGTATATAGTTGTGCAAGAGTGAGTGGTGGGGGTATGCTAGAGGATCGGGGTTGAGTGATCTCTTCGCCCCGGAGAGTCAAAAAGTCCCCTGAGCCGGTTCTCGTCGGGGTCTGATGGGCCCGGCGACTCCAATGGGGTTTAGGGTCTGGGGTTTAGGGTGTAGGGTTTAGCGAGTAGTCCTGAAATTGCAAAAGGGCAGGCTATGATTTCAGGTATATTGTGCAAACCAGGAGGGCTGCGCGGGTCCAAGCAGGCTCAAAGTACAAGAGACGTACAGTCGAGCTGCTTAAAGAGGGTGCCAGGTCTTGGGCGTAGGGCATTTAGTATTTTGGGATGAGGGCAACAAGGCCGGATGCAAAGAGTTTGGGGTTTAGGGTATGTTGCCAAGAGAGCGACGTGCTCGACCAGGCGCGCTGGGACAAGCCTGTGCAAAAGATTTTGGGCAGGTCCATAGTTATGCTTTGATGCGCTAACAGGTTTCCAGGCATGGAACGCCGCTACTGGTGCAAAAGCACTCAGGGTTTAGGGTTTAGGGTTTAGGGAGGGTTTGGGCCGTTTAGGGTTTTGGGTTTAGGGTTTAGGTTGGACTGGACCAAAGCTCAGGTGATTTGGTCTCCAAAGTCAAAGGCAACGTCCTTGACCTCTCCAAGGCCCCAGGGCTTGGCAGCGTTCCGGGTTCATGGTCAAAAAGTGTTTGGTTAGGGTTTAGGGTTCAGGTTCTAGGGTTTAGGGTTTAGGGTTTGGGGTTTAGGGTTTAGGGTTTAGGATTTAAGGGTTTTAGGGTTTAGTATAGGTTTAGGGTTGAGGGGTTTGGGTAGAGGGTTGAGGGTGGCCTCTGGAGCTGCGGAATTGGGCATCGCCTTGCAGGACAAGTACGGTTGCAGGGTGGTCCAGAAGATGATGGAGAGCCTTGGAGGTCCACAGGAACCCTAAAAAATTGGGGCCATATCCCCTATATCCCCATTCTTGTATTACGAACCGGGACCCCTAAACCCCAAACCCTAAACCCTTTTAAGGTTCACAATTGGTCCTTAAGGAAGTTGCCTCAGAATCTGAAGCTGGACATCGCCTCGGAGATGGTCGACAATGTCATTGAGTGCATCGAGGACATGAACGGGAACCATGTGATACAGAAAGTGGTGGAGAACCTGCATCCTGAGGCGGGCTCTTGGGGTAAGCACTTGAGGTATAGGCTCGGGTTTAGGGGGAGCTTTTTGGGAGCTTAGGAAGTTCATAGGGCTGAGGGCTCAGGTTTGAGTTTAGGACATCATTGCCCTTAACCTTTGGGTATAAATATATATATATATATGTTGTTGAATCCCACCCATAATTGACAGGTTATGTTTTTTTGGGCCCAGGGTACTCAGCAACTAGCATTCTCTTTGCACGCATGAAAGAGGTGGATTTCATCATCGACGCTGTGTCCCGCAATTCGGAGACAGCGGAGACTTGGTAGGCCCCGTGTGCAGTCTTTCCATATGTTTATGTTTCCCTTAGCCTGGGGCTTAAGAGGATCCAGTGTCGGAGTATGCTGCCCTAAACCCTAAACCCTAAACCCTAAACCCTAAACCCTAAACCCCCTCTTTGGGCTTCAAAAGGCAGGGCCCAGCCAAGGAGCAAATGGCCTCGCACATCTACGGATGTCGCATCATCCAGCGACTACTGGAGAACTGCGAGTTGCTCACCTTAGGGTTTAGGGTTTAAGAAAGAAATAAACATATGTATGTATATGAATATATATATATGGGTTTAAAAAAGTACATGCTATATATTTCCCGTATGGGTTTAAGAGGATTCCATGTTCATGTCTTCCCTTACGGCTTTAATCTTTGTTTCAGAGGGCCCTAAACCCTAAACCCTAACCCTCGGAGGCTGTTAGGGTGCCGTTCTCAGGTTGGATCGCCTCAGTGGCGTCCTGGACCCGATAGTGACGGCGGCCAGCAAGCTCTCGAAGGACAAGCACCTTGGGGGACCAAATATGATAAGGGTTTAGGGTTTAGGGTTTAATTAGGGTTTAGGGTGGGGTACCAAATCTGAGCCCTCAAAGGGTTTAGGGTTGAGGTTCCAGGGTTTTGGTCCTCAGTTAGGGTTTGGGTTCATATAAACCTTCTAAGAGGGGTAGATGACCCCAAGTTTAGTGTTCATTTGGCCCCCAAGGCATGCCAACTACGTGGTCCAGTGCATTCTGCAGAAGGGTCGCCATGATGACAAGCGAAGCATCGTGCAAACCATCAGCCAGAACGTGCTGGAGTTCTCCAAGAACAAGGTCCGTCGCCCTCCCGGTACTGTTTTGAAGGGTTAGGATTCCTTCTAGGCCCCTCCCTCAACAAATAAGGTCACTCCCTCCTTTACGATACCGGGCAACCTAGAGTTCTGCCAGTCGGGGAGGGCGGGGGGGAGCTTTTGGATCGTGGGTTTCAAGAGGGTGACACATCTACAGCTGCTCTCAGGGTTTGGAGGTAAGAAGGTGCATATAAGGGATCCCATTCAATGTTGGGCCCATATTAAGGAGCCACGTAGCTACCCTGAGATATGCAGCCCTTGTATAGGGTATATAAGGCGTGTTTAAAGGGACCCCCATACAAGGGCCCAAACTACAAGGGACCAGGTAAGTAACCCTTCGATATGCAGGTCTCCAGCAACGTAGGGGCCCTTTGTGGTTTGCGCAGGGGGGATATAAGGGGAAAATCAAGGGATCCCCATGTAAGGGCCCATATTTACAGGGGAAAGCCATGTAACTACCCGTTTGAGAGGTCTCAAGCAATGTGGTGGAGAAGTGCCTGGAAGTGACCTCCGATGGCCCGGATGCCGAGAGCCTGGAGGAGGACTTTAGGGTTTAGGGTTTAGGGTTTAGGGTTTAGGGCCGTGTTGCAGAGTTTGGGCTTTAGAGTTTTTAACAGGACTTACGAACTTCTGCCCCCCCGCCCCCCCCACCCACCCCCCCCCCCCCCCCCCCCCCGAAAAAAAAAAAAGAACACGAAAATCAACACATGACTCCTTTTCAGGGCGATGTAGGCATGACTTTTTTGTTGATTTTTTTTGGGGGGGGTTCTTAAGCAAACAGTAGTTTGTAAAGGTTGATGCTTATGGTTTTGGGGGCTTTAGGGTTTGCACCCTAAAGCCCTAAAAACAGAAGGGTATCAGCGGAGTGGATATGACAATCGTCCACTGCATCTATCACCATTGGCCCAAATTGGCCCAATGGGCCTGTCAGAGAAGGATGCTGGACAGTGTAGTGTGTGCCTCGCCTGTAGAGTGCGAGCGATTAAACGTGTTTTGGATGCGGTCGCCGCATTCTACATGTGGGTCACTTGTCGGGACATCCTATCTGGGGGCCACTTTTTGGGACATCCTAAATGCAGGGGGCCATATCATGACAAGGATCATGACAAGGCACCTTCGGACTGCGTGGTAGTTGTGCCCCAAGTGGTCGAGTTCGACCGGACACTGTGACCTGATTCCTGGGCTGCCGTGTGCGAACGTGAGCGACGAAACACCTTCGGGCTTGAACCCTAAACCCTTAAACCTCTTAAACCCTAAACCTTTCACCCTAACCCCCTGAAACCCTAACCCTGACCCCCTTAGAACCTTAAACCCTAAACCCTAACACCTTAAGCCCTAAACCCGAACCGCCTACTCCCTACCCCCTCACAACCTTGAACCCTAAACCCCTTAAACCCTGCAAACCCCAAACCCCGGGGGTTTAAACCCTAACCCCCAACCCCCTGAACGCCCTAAAGCCTAATCCCTCAAACCTTACCTTACAAACCCCAACCCCCCTTTTACCCCTATCCCCCTTAAACCCTAAACCCTACCCCCCGACCCCCCTTAAAAAAACCCTACAAACCCTGCCTAAAACTCTAGAGCCCCCAACCCCCTCAAACCCCTACCCCCAGCGCCCCTTAAAGCCCTACAACCCCCTACACCTCCTTCCGGCTCGACCTTCCCTAAAACCTAAGCAATAAACCCGTTAAACCCTAAACCCTAAAGCAGAAACCCTAAACCCTAAACCCTAAACCCTAAACCCTAAACCCTAAACCCTAAACCCTAAACCCTAAACCCTAAACCCTAAACCCCCTGAAGGAGCGCACAGCGCTCTTCGCTGCGGTCTTGGGCTCCCCGGGAGACCAGCGTGCGCCTATAAACCAGCTCATGACCGACAAGCTCCCCGGCCTAGGGGTAGGGTTTCTGGGGTTTGTGGGGTTTCCGGGGTTTCCGGGGTTTCTGGGGTTTTCTGGGGTTTTTGGGGTTTCGTGGGGTTTCTGGGGTTTCTGGGGTTTCTGGGGTTTCTGGGGTTTCTGGGGTTTCTGGGGTTTAGGGTGTAGGGTTTTAATAATTTAGAGTTTTTACAGGGTTTATAGAATAGGATTTTGTTGGGGTTCGTAGGGTTTATAGGGCTTAAGAAATTTGTGCAAAGTGCTCTGTTTAGTAGCCATCTAAGTAGTAGATCTTCGACTTCATTAGCGTATCCTCGTGGGTTGCCCGTCTGGTTCGGCAACGGCTATAGTAAGACGTCCCCTGCCTTGGTTTCAAGAAGATACACTATCATTTGCTTCAGAAACCGTCGCAAAGCATGTTTTTCTCCTTAGAAGGGGAATGTAGGGATTGTGTTTTGTTATTTCTTTTTTTTTTTTTGGGGGGGGGGGGGGGTGTGTTCTTAAGCAATTAGTAGGACAGATGGGGAGTTCACGACCCCCAGGTTCGGCAACTATACGGCCCAGCGCATCATCCAATACAGCCGCGGGGATGACTGGAAGGAGCTTAGGAGACGTATCGAGGTGCTGGTGCCTGGAACGCAGTTCAGTCACTTCAACGCCCCAACTTGGGATGTTCCCCCTAAAACAAACCAGAATCCCTGTTAAGGACTGTTAGTATAAGGAGGAACATCCCAAGCCTCAACCCTTGTATGTCTGCGTTGTTAGGTAAAAACAGAGGTGCTTCTTCTTTGTCTAAGGGAAAAAATGAGGTCACTTTTTGTGCCGAGTGCAGAGCTGATCTAAAGCTGTTCTGTGGAGAATCCCTGGCACTAAGATAACCCTAAACCCTAAACCCTAACCCCTAAACCCTAAACCCTAAACCCCAAACCCTAAACCCTAAACCCTAAGCCCTAACCCCGTTCCTCCCTAAGCTGATACGAGTCTCGGGATCGCTCTTGCAGTGCTTCGCAGCCAGCTGCCCACATCTGAGGAGAAGGACCTCAAGAACTCCCCCACAGGTGGGCCACCCAGATGCTGAGCAGCCAGTGCGGTCAGCACCCTAAACCCTAAACCCTAAACCCTAAACCCTAAACCCTAAACCCTAAACCCTAAACCCTAAACCCTAAACCCTAAACCCACAGGGGTGGGGGGGGGGGATTAGAAGGGTCGATGCTCTTCAGTCATCTCAGGTCGACACATCCTCACGGCCCTGGAGAAGAAGAAGAAAGCTGAGGGCGAAGCATAATCGCGTAAAGGTATCTGCAAGAGACAAAAAGTGAGAAGCTTCAGCGCGAGCGATGGCGCAACTTTCAGCAACTCTGGAAACTAGTGTAGAATCCTGAAGCCCAGACTTAGTTTTAACAGCAGGTTTGCTCCCACCCAACTCCTCTTTTCGATGGTGTTAGCGCATGAAGGGCACTTTGGCATGTCAAAGTATACTTGTACCGGCATGTTCCCAACACGCCGAGAACTAGTCAAGCCCGAACCCCTTTTGCTTGTTCAACATGACCTCGGAAACTCCAGCCCCTACACCCTAAACCCTAAACCCTAAACCCTAAACCCTAAACCCTAAACCCTAAACCCTAACCCTAAACCCTAAACCCTAAACCCTAAACCCTAAACCCTAAACCCTAAACCCTAAACCCTAAACCCTAGCCCTAAACCCTAAACCCTAAACCCCATTGGTCCACTTGAGGTGGTTAGATGTGCCCTCTGGCCTGGAAGTAGGGTTCGCATCTCTCGAGGCCGGACGGGCCACCCGAGAGGGTTGTGTGAACTGCGGTTTCGGGTTTCGGGTTTCGGGTTTAGGGTTTAGGGTTTAGGGTTCAGGGTTCAGGGTTCAGGGTTCAGGGTTTAGGGTTTAGGCGGCAAGCCTCCAAAGTCCGTTGCTCATACGGGTTTAGGGTTCATAATTGCAGCTTCTCCTGCCACGGCCCACTGCGGATAAGAACATGGAACCACTGAAGTCCCGCTCGGAAGCACACTTGCACCAAAGATGCGCCTGCAGGATCGTGCACCACGCTTACTCGCCCGCGAGCATCGCAGGGGTCTTTAGGGTTTTAGGGGTTGGGGTTTAGGGTTTTGGGTTTTGGGTTTTGGGTTTAGGGTTTAGGGTTTAGGGTTTAGGGCACCCTAAACCCTAAACCCTAAAGCCTTTCTTTGATGCTTGGCGTGGAGTTGACAGTCTTGCAGCCAGTACCGCATCATCTGCACCAGGCGCACTACGCGCCGCAGCTGCAGCCCTTCTTCGTGGATGTCATCGGCATTCCTCTGCTGAGCTCTGTTGAGGCTGCTCATGCTGGCTCTTGTTCTCCAAGCCAGTTGCTCACATGCTACACTTCCTGATTCAGGGTCGTCAGGGTACCCGGTATACTGCCGGCCCTTATTTGAGAGTTTAGGGTGCCCGGAAAGGTTCCAGATCGTAGACATTTGCCTTTGTCCCTCTTTTTGTGACTCGGTCCGCTAAAAAGGCCACCTGAGGGAGCCCATACTCCTAGGCTGCTCCCTAAACCCTAAACCCTAAACCCCTGTGAGTCTAGGCAGCACATCCAGGTTCAGACGCGTCTCCGGGCTGCAGCCAACTCTGCGGCACACTCAGCGGCCGTGCACATGCTGCAGTTTAGAGGGTTTAGAGTTTGGGGTTTAGGGTTTACAGAGGGGATCAGATCTCGTCTCCTAGAACCCTAAACTAGCATAGGAGCCTGCTTAAGAGGCATGGTTGTGTTTTGGCAGCTCGTAGCATTATAGTGGCTATAGCCTGGCGATCATCAGTGGTTGATATTGATTGGAAATGCTTAGGCTCCTGTATTGCAACCTTGTTCTTGCAAGTGGTCAGCAAGACTTGGCAAGACCCACGATGACGCAAGCTGGGGTTAACTTTCTCCCTGTTTAGTGTGTACTTGGAGGTTCATGGGTACTTAGAAGTAGCAGGGTTATATGCGGGGTAACTATGGTTATAGGATGGTATAAGTATTGATGCTGCTATAACCCTATTTAAGGCACTGATGAGTAACTATGGTTATAAGATGTTATAAGTTATGATGCTGCTATAATCCTACTTAGGGCACTGATGCCTCGAAGTACCCATGAACCTCCAAGTAGGGTCCAGAGTTGAGCAATTGCACTTTCGGGGCAGAGCCATGTCTGACTGCCAGAGGCGCTGTAGAATTTGGGGGGGGGGGGGGGGGGGTGAGCTGGATCGGCGGTCTCCAAAAACTTCCGCACTTCTACTTGTGCTGCCCCGTGTTCGGTGTGAACTCATGAGGGGCACCGATGCACCTGCAAGTTTCAGGGAGCCGTTACTGCAGTGCTGTGCAGCGCAGGGGTTTGCAGATGCCACCGCCAAACTGCACAGGGCGTGCGCCAATGCAGCATGCGGCACACGTCTGTTACGACCGTCAGTGCAACAGGGGGGTTTCCGAAATTGATTAGGCGTGAGACCTGGATTCAAAAGGGGTACAGTGGTGTCAGAGTATAAGGGACTCCTACTATGTGGAGTCTACATTAGGGGTCCCCTTATTTTCGTAAACCCCCCACATGTTCTTGCTTTTCTGCGCGTCTGGTGCAAGCCTCGCCGGTGCAGAGAGCCAGGTACCAAGACTTGGAGAAGCTTTGCCAGAGCATTGATGAAGATGGCCACGAGGACTTCAGCATGGTGGCCCCACCACGGTTTAGGGTTTAGGGTTTAGGGTTTAGGGCTTCGGGTTTCGGGTTTCAGGTTTAGGGTTTAGGGTTTAGGTTTTTCGCTGAGCATGCCGAGTCTGCAGGAAGCCCAGGACGTGGCCCTTATCTTTTTGAAGAAGGACCTGGCCAACATGGTCTTCCTGCCGGGGGCCAGAGTTGCGACATCTCCTACATTCCTCTCACCTTCTTCCGCGAATTCTAAATGTTCAGTTGCAGGGTCTTTGCAGGGTTTTATAGGTTTTTTTTTTTTTTTTTTTTTTTACCAGGGTTGGGGGAACTCTTAAAATGCCAAGCTGCAGCCACCCTCGCATCATGGCTAGTCCTTGCACATCGAAGTCGCCAACAAAGACTCCTGAGTTGCACAAGCCAAGTTCACATAAAGAATTCTTGCTTTGGGATGTTCCTCCTTATACTAGCAGTCCTTAATTGGGATGATAGTAACCCCCTGCTATGATTCCTATCAAGGACTGTTAGCATAAGGGGGAACATCCCAATTCATGATGTTAGTTGTTGAGATACATATAAAAGCCTCATGCTTGAACTGCGGTCACGTCACATACGAATGTCATTGCATTGCTTTCTGTTAAAACTGATATGGCAGTCTGTCTTGATTTCATATATGGCCCGCGTAGAATTTGGATTATTTCATAAATCGTTGGTCTTCTGCCATATCATCTATCACTATGAAGATTGAAAATAAGTGCTTGATTTTGTTCTTCTTCTGATACTCTGCCCCTGACCTGACCTTGTAGTATATCTGGGTACTACGAAGAGAGACTTCGGCTTGTCTGTGCGAACAACATAACTTTGGTTCCCGCAAACCCTCAAGCTTTAGGGTTTAAGGTTGGGATGCTTCCCCTCATACTAGCAGTCCTTAATAGGGCTTTTTGTACCCCAGAATCCCTGTTGAGGACTGTTAGTATAAGGGGGGAACATCCCAAGTTTAAGGTTACCCTCAACTCTACTTCCCCAGCCCTTACATCCAGGCCTGGGGTTGAGGAGCAGCCTGAGAAAGATGCGAGGGAGCCCAGCAGGGGGCATCGGAATGTGGGGGCGTGGGCGTTAAAGCTTGCGGGGTCGAGGTTGATTTAGGGAGGCTGAGTAGTTCCGGTCAGTTGGGGGGGGGGGGCGGGGTGCATTGAATCTCCTCGTTCGGAGGGATCTCCTACTTGTCTCATGAGATCCTTCAGAGTCAGAGTGGATCCGCTGGTGCCCAACCCTAAACAGGTGTAGGTTGGAACATAATTATGTCTTTTAATTGCCCTTAGTTTTTTTTGTAATCCTTAAGCCATGTAGAAATGCAAGGCGTAGTTGCATTACTTTTGATGAGCTACAATGGCTTTAACGCTGCCATGCTCACTGGCTCAAGTGCACGATAAAAAAGGAGTGCTACTTATCGGTTTTGTGCTCCGTCTGTATGCTGACCTGATAACTTTAAGCCATAACAACTTTTTATAGGGCCACCTCGCCTACCCCAGTAAACCTAAAGCCTGAACAGTTTAAGACCATGCATCCTAAACCTTCGAACCTGATCAGCCCTGCATATCGCGTGGCACATTCCAGGCTTTTGTACAACGGGACGCGCATGTGGTGAAGTTCGCGCAGGGCGTAGGGCGGGGTGGCTGTGAAGTTTTTTGGGGTTGGGTAAGATTTGCCTCAACCCCCCCGAAACCTGGAAATCATCTTCGCCCAGCCATGGAGATCAAGATTTTGCTTCCCCAGGCCTTCGTCTTCTTGACCTCAGGGCATCCAAGCCTCGATGCGCACAGCGGCAAGATCGACTTAAGCTTGGGGACTCAGCCTGTTCCCTTGCGCCTGTGCCGCGAAGTGTTGCGCATCACCTTCGTCATCAATCGCTAAGTCAGGGAGCACCTCCAGCCCCCCCCCAAAAAAAAACCTTGGAGGAATTACAGGCCGCCCTTTATCCGCCTCCTTTCGTGCAAAAGGGGAGCCCCTGCGAAGACAATGTGAATACAGAGACCTACAGCTTACTATTACAGCCAGTAAAGGTGTGTGGGCAAGAAAGGGGTATACCCCAATCTCATCCGACCGCCTGAGGCCAGCACTTTCCCGGTCTGGATGCCTACTTCAACAACATGGTGGGCCTGCCCAGGCTCGGGTTACAACTCAAACTGTGCGAGGGTACGTCTGTAGCTGAGGAGCGACCCCTCAAAACCCCTACAACATAGTGTCCATGCGACTCGTTGCCGCTAGGCGGGTGCCAAACATCTAGGCTATATAACCCCCCGAAGGTACGGTAGAAGCCTCTACGTCTAGGACAAGGGAGATTGACAACGCATAGAATAGAACGTTCTACCTTTCAAGCATCCGGAAGGTCCTGGTCCAAGACTCCTTGCCTGGGCACTACGTACCTGCGTTTAACAGACTGTGCTGGTATGACATACATTCTTGGTTGGGTGAAGCCTGCAAGTTCCTGTTGCCAGTTTCCTGGATGTGGACTGCTCCCTCCGTGCGCTGAGACATGCGCAGTCAGAGGAGGACCGCCTTAAGTATTCATCCCCGCAACTGGAAGGCCCAAAGCCATTGGCATGAGGCATACAGCCGAAGAGGGGCTTCAGGAAGAAACAAGGAAGGCAGAGAAAACATGCCCCCGCACAGCTTGCCACAAGAAAGCCTCAACTCGCTTACATTGCAAGCCTTGCGGCAACATCGATATGTAACTGTGACAAGTTATTGTTGCAGGGCGCCATGCTTCGACAGCCATTTCACTGAGTCTGCACTGTGCATTCGCAGAGATCGAATGAATGAGATTTCTTTAAACAGGACTGTCTTAGCTTGGTCCTCGCCATCTACAGCAACTTGGAGCAGGCATTGTTCAGGTTTTGCCATGCAAGGGTGGTGTGTTTCAATCAATGTGAACAAGTCAGTCTTTCACTTGGAGCCCGTGGCAAAACGCACCTCATGGCTTATAGGCCTCGAAATGCAGCGAAATCCCAAGCATCATCTGCCCTCCGACTCCCAAGTGCAAGTTAACTACGAACCCTCACGCCACCAGACGAACAGTCCCCTAAACCCTAAACCCTAAACCCTGAACCCTGAACCCTGAACCCTGAACCCTAAACCACACGTGTGGAGAGTTGAAGTTGGCGACCAAGGGCCAAAGCCCTATGGGCCCCAGCCGCCCAAGAGGCCCCAAAGACCCCCAAAGCCTTTGAAAGGCCCCCAAAGACCCTTTTGAGGCCCAAAGGCCCCTAAACCCTAAACCCTAAACCCAACTTGCAACTTCTCTTGGCGAGGCGCACGCTTCCAGCATGCAGGTCGTCGACATCAGCCTGATCTTCGAAGAGGCTCGTCGCTGTCGGCCCCAGATACCTGATGTTGAGACATGGCAAGGCTGCAGAAGCCTACTGGGCTCGGAATAATTACCAATGGTATTCTCTTAGGGTCCCTTTATGACTATACTATACTTTAATAGCCCCCAAAACCCTATTCTCATTATTAAGCCCCCCAATAGTACAGGGTAGAGCTGCCCTCTTTTCCAGGTTAGGGTATAAAGCGTTCAGAGTTCGACTTCTCTTGTTTTAGAGTACTGGGCGGAAGCTCGCATGAGAATTGTTGGAGACACCGCGCAGCCAAACTAAGAAGCCGTTCTCCTTGCCTTGAGCTAATGACTAACCCGCTAGCCACAAAACCTAGCCCTCCCCGAGCCGTAGAACAAACAAGAACCTGACACAGACTCCTCACCTGGTTTGCTTGGTGCAGACAAAAACCCTAGCCCTAAAATCTAAACCTCAGACCGACTCAGACCATTCTACAAACCTAGACATTCGCCGGGTGGAGTGGTACTTCGGTAGCCGCTTTAGTGCTGGGGAGTACCCCGAAACCTGTTAGGGTTTAGGGCATAAGGTTGAACCCTGAGCCCTAGACTTCGACCTTAAACCCTACACACCCAGAAGGAGCCCTTGATGTACGCTCCTTCCATCGAGCGCTCCGTGCGCGAGGCCTCTCCACGTCTAGGGCACCCAAGAAGCCCATGGGCTCTGCAAGTTTCGGGCACAGGGCTCCCTTCGTCCTACCCCTGGGCCCCTGTTGCGGTTTCGGGTTTAGGCTCTGTATAATACGGTTAGGGTTTAGGGTTTAGGGTTTCGGGTTTAGGGTTTAGGGTTTAGGACCCTGGACTCTGAAATTTGGTTGGTAAGCCCTATTGCCATTGCCTCTGCGTTGCTTTGAGTCAGACCCTGGCCTCCGCCGGAGACCTCTCTGATGTGCTTCTTGGTGGGGTTTTTAGGGGTCTTAGGGTTTGGGGTTTAGGGTTTAGGGTTTAGGGGTCTTGGGGATGGGGGATTTAGGCTTTGGGGACTTTAGGGATGATTTTGTTGGGTTTAGGGTCAGTTGCCCCTACCACTGGTTCATTACGGAACGGTTCAGCGTTCAGGGCGAAGGCCAGCTGAACCACGTGCAGTGCTTTGTGCTTTTGCTCGAGCCTTGAGGACAACTAGGACAATTGCAGCCATGGGGAGGCCTACAGCAACATCGCACAAGGTTTAGGCGTGCGCTGGTGCCACTCGCGTCATTCTTGGTTTGTCTGCCAGAGCCTAAGACAGGCGCTTCGGCCATTGCTAGAGGTGTTCCAGAGCAGCTTCAGGCGAGCAAAGCAGACGGCGCGGGCTCTGCTTGGAGGCTGGGCCGTGCCATTAGCTGCAGCTAATGGCAAGGCCCACCCTCCAAGCAAAGCCCGCGCCGTCTGCTTTGCTCGCCTGAAGCTGCTCGGGAACACCCATGGGATGTAATGGCAGGGAGTGCAGAAGATCCGCAAGGTTCCGCAAGCCAGAGCGAGGTCGGTTCCTCCGGGCTTCTGGGCTGACAATCTGCTCTCTGCACGCAGGGCTGCGAGGGAGGCAGGGGGCCGCTAGGGGGTCGATGCCGAACGCTTCACACCGTGCCCGCCGGTTCTCGAGGTAGATGGGGGGCATCTGCCGTCCGCGTGCAAGCAAGCAAGCAGGACAGGTGCCTGAAGGCGTCGTAGCACGGAAAACGTGACATCTTCGGCGATTTCACATTTCACGGGCCTTGCGGGGGGAGAGTGTGCCGCATCGCCGCAAGGCCCCGATTCCTGGCGACGAGAACCCTGACCGAGGCATCTTGCAGTTGCCTGTGCACGCCGGGCCACACTTGCAACTGCTGCGCATGTTGAAGTGCAGTTGGGTTGTGAACTAAACACTTGGCCTGTGCACGGACGGCATCATGTCGACTTATCAAAGCATTCTCTCACCCGAAGGAAAGCATACGCCGCGTTGTCGTGTTTGTAACGAACCACAACAGAAATTCTCACGCACGGCCGATCTGTGACGCGCTGCGCAAGCGTGTCCGAGCCGAAACAGGTCACGATTGTTTTGATTCAGCAACAGAAAGAGAAGACAAGCGAAGTGGCCAACAAAGCATGCAGGTGAGGTAGAGGTTTCGGCGTGGCGTTCCTGGTGCTTTTCTGATGTTTCCTTGTACAAGAACGCTGGCAAAACAAAAACAGGCGTTGACCGGAAGCGTGGCACGCCACATGAGGAGCTGCTGGATTGTTTGGATATACTTGAAGCGAAGATGATGTGATCAACAATGAACCCGCGGTCAGCTGTACGACTATCTTTGCCGTCTTCCTTCAGACCACGCAAGGGGCATGGAGTTTGACAAAGAAGCCTTCGAGCTTTCATACGTAACTGGGCAATGTGCAAGCGCACAAAACCAATATGCAAAGCTCTCGTGCGAAGACGAATTTCTGGTGCTTGGTCCGGCTGTGGAGGGGAAGAACTGTTGGGCGATTTTCTTTCTCGGCACTCTGCATGGGAACGGCTGCGGCGCAAATCTCGTCTACAGGCGAAGGCTGTTCCCGTTGCTTTCCCAGACAGAGACGGGTCTTGCAAGCTCAACGCAATCGAAATGGGCAACTTGAGGGCATTGCCATCAAAGCCGTTCTTGCAGATGTCGGAGTCATGGAGAAGGCCTACGATCAGGGCTGCCCAGTTGCTGCTCCTTCGTTAAACTGTGCTGAGGCCGTAGAAAGTTGCAACATCCTGGGATGGTTCCACATCCTCGGTAATGTTGGTACTCCGGTAGCATTGGACATGGCCCGGGCGAGGCGGCGAGATTTGGTCGAAGCCTTGCGCCAACTGCACCTGAACTTCGTCCATGGACAGTTTAGTAGCAACTACCCAATAATTAGTAGGTGGAACCCATAAATGACCTGCAGTTTAGTAGCATTTACCCTTAAGTAGTAGGTAGAATCCATAAAGCCTGTAGGCAAAAAGGCTCCCGGGCATGGATAAGGTGCTGCAGCCGTTGGTGTCTTCTGTGACATGCTGGATCGAGCCGAAAGCCTGATGGAGAAAAGTGCAAAGCCCAAACATCCACCAAGATCCCCCTCCCCAGCTGGGGTGGGGTTCAGGCTCAGGGTTTAGGGTTTAGGGTTTTTTTGGGTTTAGGGTTTTTTTGGGTTTATACGGTCTCTGCAACAAAAACCGGGGTTTCATCTGGAACGCCAAACTGCTCCCCAGGTGGCGCGGGCGATAAAGTCCCAGTCCTCGGCGTGGCGTCGCACCGTCGACTGCATGTCTTGGCCTCAGGGTTCAAGTTTAAGGCTGAAGGGCCTAGAGGGTTTAGGGTTAAGGGAATTTAGGGAGCCATTTCCGGGGTTTAAGTTTAAGGCTGAAGGGCCTATAGTGTTTAGGGTGAAGACGGTTCAGGGAATTTAGGAGCCTCAGCAGTCCTTTGTTACAAAAAAGGGGAGTCTAGGGATTAGGGTCCTTGGGCAGATATCAGGCAGGCCTTCGAGGATTCCACGGGCTTTCTGGGATAATTTGGGCCGCCTGTGAGGTGAACCGGTTTTGAACCCCATTCCAGAATCCCCGGATTGCCTTGTGAGAGTCGTTAGCATGCAAAGCCTGCACAAGAACCTTTGGGTACAAATGGCAGGATTCCCTTATACTTCGGAGCCCAATAACCCTGAACCCTAAACCCTAAACCCCTAAACCCTAAGGTGTTTTGTTGGAAATCCCTACATCAGTATACCGCCAGCTTTACGAGCACGTGGTGCCTATCAGTTGGCGTGGCCGAGTTGGAATGAGGCTCGCAAGACCCCAGGAAACCGGAGCAAACCCTGAACCCCAAGTCCCAAGCAGACCCTAAACCCTAAACCCTAAACCCTAAATCCTAAAGCCTCAACCTGCACAGAAGGTGGCACGACGTCCCCTCTGGAGTGGAAGTGGGCTGCCGATCATTGCAGGCATGTGTTGTTTCAGGGTTTGGGGCTTATGAAGGTTCTGAAAGATCCAAACTGCCCACACGAAACCTGGGCCATACTTTGGGAGTCGAGCCCTACATGACCCCCCAAGTACCCTAAATCTTTTTTTTCAAGAACCTTTCCTAAACCTGAATCCTGAACCCTAAAACCCGAATCAGTGACTCAGGGCTTTGACCCCGAGGTGGGTTCTCAGCGCCTGAATGGTCAGACTCAGCTCTCGGGTTCTGAGACTTTTGAGATGGAGGTTTGCATTTGGGGAGGTTTGCATTTGGTTGTGTGGCTGTGGTGATTCGCGCTGACTTGTGACAAGGAGAGGATCGGAAGGTTTAGGGTTTAGGGATTTGCGCTAGGGTTTTTGCGCTATGACATGGCTTTGTGAGGCCCTGCTGAGCGGTTCGCTACGCGGGCGCCAAAAAGGAACCCTCATCCCAAGCCTGAGATGCCCTGTTGTCCTTTAGCTACAGACTCTAAACCCCAATTCCCAAACCCTTTACACAGCATTCCCTCTTCAGTTGCCCCGCGGAGCATGGCAAAAAACCCCAAACCCTAAACCCTAAACCCTAAACCCTAAACCCTAAACCCTAAGATGCCCTTGTTCGCCCTTTTCTACTTGCTTGCAGGGCCGACTGCCCTCCGGCTTGGAGGACTTCTGCATCGAGTTGCTGGCAGTCCCTGCGCTGTCGGCCGTTGAGGCTTGGAGGGCCTTGGATTGGTTCAACTGCAGGGTTCGGAACTAGGATTTAGGAATGTGCTGGTTTAGTAGGGTTTAGGGTTATCGGATTTAGGATTCAGGATTCAAGACCTTCAGGGCGGTGTTTCAGATTCTTGCTCGTTTTCTGCTTGCAGTCATCAAGTCCGGTTTCAAAATGGGTTCAACTGCAGGGTTCCGAAGTAGGATTTAAGAATGTGAAGGCTCAGTAGGCTTTAGGGATTTAGGGGTCCAGTGTCCAGGGCTCCAGGTTTGGGGGGTTTAGGGTTTCGGGGTCGCACAGGCCTGCATGCAGCAACACAGTGTTTAGGGCGCCAACTATGGGATGCCAGAGGACCCATGCGAAGGCCAGCATCATGAAGGTGTGGCGTGGGGCCTCCGGGTGTGGACGAGTCATTGTGAAAAGCCTCAGTAGGAAGGGTTTAGGGTTTAGGGTTTAGAGTTTAGGTTTTAGGGTTTAGGGTTTATAGGGGATAGGGTTTAGGGTTTAGGGGGTTGATGAAAAGGAGTATACGATAGCTTCGGCGCGCCAGAGTTGGCAGAGAGCAGCCGAAAGATGACTCAGCTTCCAGGCCTGTTTAAGATAGGTGGCCGTGAGTGAACGATACCCAAACAAGACCTCCACGTGTTACGTTCTGCGTTGCTTTTGGCATCCATCAGAAGGTGCTGGCTAGGTTTGCAAGAGGCTTTGCGCTGGATATGCCATGCCGATATCCCGACCGATATCCCCCACGGCACCTCAATGGCTAGAACCCGATTGGTCAAGACTTTTAGCACTTGCTGTCATAGAGGTGCGAGCAATGGATTTCGACATGATTTTCATGACGACCGTCCTGAGCAAACGGGCGACAGAGAGCTATACTGCTACTCTCTCTGATATATATATATATATATATAGAATGCTCGGTTCAAAGGAGATATGTTCGCACTGTGCAGGTCGCTGCGCGGCTGGACCTCGTGAGACGAACCACCTCACAGGCGGATGTCAGGCACAGCCCTAACAAGCCTGATGCCCTATAGACCCTAACAAACCTTGAAACCCTAATGCGCCTTAAGCCCTACAGTGACCCTTATGCGTCTGAAGCCCAGACGTCCCTACTCAGCCTCAAGACCCGAAACTGCACGCTTCTTCTGAGAGGTAGGAGGGTTGGGCTGATGGGAGTTGGGACTGGCTGGCCCTTGTTTCTCCCCTGTTATCCTGGCCTGCAAAGTTTTGTGTGCCTTGAGAAGCCCTGTTCAAAAGATAGGTGGGTTCAGGTGTTAGCGCGTGTAAGGCCTAGCGCCATTTCGGGGGGGGGGGGGGGGGGGGGGGGGGAAGCTTGGTTTGCCCTTCCAGGCCGATTCCTGTCCCCCCAAGAAGGTTTGAACCATGAGAAGCCCCCCTCCTGCTAGAGGCCATGTTAGGGGTTCAGGGTTTGGGGTTTGGGGTTTAGGGTTTAGGGTTTCGGGTTTAGGGTGAATTGCTCCGAGGAAGGAATATCAGGAGCAAGACCCATGGATTTCCGCTCTTGCCCCTGCTCCGCCCTGCTGGAGGACACCGCCATTTGTTACTCGAGCCCCCATTATGAAGGAAGTTACGCAAAGGGTCCACATGCTACATGTCATCTCAAAACGCTACTAGCTATTGTTTTGGTGTACCTTGCTCCATGATTAAAACTGAGCCTGATGACGGCTTCATTGGAAGGGCTGTGCCTTTGGGCGGGTTTGGCTTTACACAGGCCTGTCAGGGGCCGTATTCACGGGTTTTCAATAAAAAAATGGCTGCATGCTTCGGAGAGCTTCTGATCAGATTTCATCGCATGCTGGGTCTGCGATCTCCAAATTTTCCTCGCAATGTCACCGGCTGCCGATGCGATTTTTGTAGCCGTCGCGCTGCTATTGTGCTCCAATGCCCTCGCGCTGTCGAGCGCCCTGGGTAACGAGTCGGCGGAATCTACAACAGAGCCTACCACACCCACTACAACAGAGTCTACCACATCCACTGCACCTGCAGACGAAGCGGAGGACGAGGACGAGCTCAGCAGCACCACGGCTAGAAACCCGAGGGGAGGATGCTGCAAGAATGGTTCAGGTGTTCTGTTAAGCACGAAACTCGCTCCCCTTAGGGTTTAGGGTTTGGGGTTTGGGGTTTAGGGTTTAGGGTTTAGGGTTTAGGGTTTAAGGGTTTAAGGGTTTAAGGGTTTAAGGGCTTAAGGGTTTAAGGGTTTAAGGGTTTAAGGGTTTAAGGGTTTAAGGGTTTAAGGGTTTAAGGGTTTAAGGGTTTAAGGGTTTATCGTTCAGGGTTTAGGGCTCCTTAGTCCTATGCTTCTAAATGAAGTCTTGCAACTTGAAGGGAGGCAGTTTAAGGGAAGGCGCAGGTGGTGGCTGCATCCCGAGACGCGGACACTGGTGGCTAGATATCTGAAACCCTATAAGAACTAAAGCCCTTTGGGAAGCAGGGTCTATAGGGTTTAGGGTTGAGGGTTTAGGGTTGTTTAGGGTTTAGGGGGCAGGGCGGCCGTGCTCATGCGAAAGCATTTTGGAGTAAAGGGTGCGTTTTCTTCGGACCAAGAACCAGAGATGCGTTGCGTCCCAAGACCTTGTTGGTTTAGGACGATACATAGCAAACAGGGCACCCGAAAATCAACGGGGGCAACGAGACCCCTTTCAGTACGTGGCACCTGAGAGAGCTCCCGATTCCACCCTAAACCAAAATTAAAACCTAAAACCTCTGATGTTCCACCTTATTCTGAAACGATTCGGGACTTTCGCATAAGGGGGAACATCCCACCCTAAACCCTAATTAAAACAATCAAGATCAGCTCTTTGCGAGGCACGTGCGATGATGGCATCATTTTCCTTTCGGCTCGGACGTATACGCGCATGGTTTTAATCGTTGAAGACTGCGTGCTGCCAGACTGGCTTAGTTCTTGGTTGAGGGTTTCCAGAAGTGAACTAACCTTCCGTCCTGTGCCCTAAACCCTCAATCCTAGATTCGAGGCGATGCCTTAAGATTGGTCCCTTTCCAGGGCAACGACAGCGCATGTCGGCTAGATCATGTCAGATTCGATGTCAACATTTTTACCCAAGTTAGGGGGCCCATGTCTTGCACTGCCTTCGCCCATAACCTCGACATGGGTGCCCATATGGAATCTGAGAATTTTTCTGCCTACTCCCTACCTGAGACTCTCGCTGCCTACAGTCTAGCAGTAACTACCGCTAATGAGTAGGTACAAGCCATAAAAACTGTAGGCAAAGAGGGTCCCAGGCAGACCCGGAAAGCCTAATCCCCTAAACCCTAAACCCTAAACCCTAAACCCTAAACCCTAAACCCTAAACCCAAATCCCCTATGCCACTTTGACAGAGTGCCCAGATTCTAACACCAGGCTTGTTGGCATCCCGGGCACCGTCTTGGCCGCCCCCATTGTCTTCAACAAGCACGGCGAGCTGAGGCTCAGCTGAAACGTTTAGGGTTTAGGGTTTAGGGTTTAGGATTTAGGGTTTAGGGTTTAGGGTTTAGGGTGCCGAGAGGGTCAGAGGAGACACAGGCTGCCCTTGGGATGGTGGAGGAGAAACTCAGTCATCTTCAGCGAACCTATCAGGCTTGATGGTTTGCTGAAAACGCCAGCGAAACCGCCTGATTGCGCATTGACTTGCCTCAAGGATGAACGTTTGGCTGAGAAACGGGCAGTCAGGGAGAAGAGAAGAAGGGAGCGTGGGGAGACCTTTTTGTCTACCTGTACTAAATCACACCTGAGACTGCATCCCCTGCTTGCACAGAATCGCAGGGAGGCTCTGCTATCAGGTTTGCGGCGGCTTCCTCAGTCCGTGCTCAAAAAGGGTTTAGGGTTTAGGGTTTAGGACAGGCTTCAGAGGTCCCTAAACCCTAAACCCTAAACCCTAAACCCTAAACCCTAAACCCTAAAAAAAGGGTTTAGGACCGCCCTCATTTGTGAGCCACCCCCCCCACCCACCCCTGCACGCAAGACAAAAAAGAAACAACACCACATAAACCTTAGGCAGCCCCAGATCATGAAAGGGGCGCCGCCCCATTAGGGATCGCACGACTCTTCGGCTCATGGCATTACGGACGTCGGTGGAGCCCTCCACTTATAAGGGGGGAAGCTTGACAAAGCGTGGCCCGCACCATGCACAGAGGCCCCTAAACCCTAAAATCCTCAACCTCGGGGATCTGCTAAACGGGTGGCAAAAAATGATCCTAAACCCTAAACTCTAAACCCTAAACCCTAAAAACCCTAAACCCTAGACCCTAAACCCCTCTGAGGAATGGCACACTGGTTTTCGACACTGGCAGCTTTGCATGGAACGAGCCCTGCGTCAAGGGCGCTTTTGAGAAATACTTTTCTTTTTCCTTTTTCAGTCTCCGAGAATCCGAAAAAAGCATACTACAGGGGTCGGAATAGTTGCGACTAGTACTCTTTTTCAGTCCAAGAATCCGAAAAAAGAATACTATTGGGGTCGGACTAGTTACGAATAGTATTCCCTTATGGCCACTTTATACTTAGTTTTCCCATAGTAACTCCTGAAACCCTATTCTAATTGTTAAGGCCCCTCTATATATTAGGTTGCCTTAGGAATCTCGAAGATTTCAGGTGTTAACGCTGGGGGCTCCTTGACGTTGAATGGCGACATCATCTTCCGGAGACTGTGAACTCATTAGCACTCCTCTGAGCTCCTTTTTAGGGTTTGGGGTTTGGGGCTTTTGGGCTTAAACCAACTGTGTGTTGATGCTACTGTAGGGGCGCGGGCGGGCCTCCATGAAACCAAAACGGGGTATGCTGCCTCTTCCCAGGTTGCTCCTAGGTCCCTTGTTGGAAACTCAGCCATGTAGCAGTCTTTTGTGGTCCTGAAAGAGGAACCCCCTTTTGGCCGAGGCCTATGACTCAACGATGACCCAACCCTAAACTCCTAAACCCTAAACCCTAAACCCTAAACCCTGAACCCCATCAAGCGGTGACACCATGGAGGAATTGCTACAACCCAGAATTGGGCGGCGCCATCCGCTCCATGACCTGGAACATGAGGAACGGCATGAACGCCGTGGGCCTTGTTGCACAGGTGGGGTTTAGGATTTAGGGTTTAGGGTTCAGGGCTTGACGTCAAGACGTAATGTCCCAAGTCTTGCGCGGCAGAGGGCTTGATTTGCAGGATTGGTTCGTTATCACATGGGAACTTCAACATGTATGAACAGCTTCTTGGGCTCGTCATGGTGACACTTTGGTGCAGAGCCCACCTGAATCTTAGCACCTTCATGCTGCAACATTGCCTGCGCCAGCGGCATCCACCAGCGTTTTTTGCCCATTTGCTTTTGCCGGACGAGCCAACTCATTTTGCCCACTTGCCCCAGAGAGATTGACAATGGTTTTGGGTCGGGTTTGGGATTTCCCTTGCAAGAGTTCCGGAGAAAAAAACAGGCCCCTAACTCCTAGAAGCCCTGAACCTTGCAGTTTGCTGGCCGGCTGCTCTTTGAAAACTGCAGCGCAAAGCAGCTCGGAGCTACAAATCACAAGCTTGAGGTGTTGCGAAGTTTGAGTGGAGGGCTTGGGAGATCCAATCTAACAAGGTAACCTCTGCCAACCCACGCGGCAGTTAGATGCGATGCAGAAGGGTTGTCTTACTCGCTCACTCAATAGCATGGAGCGTGCGGAATATCGCTGTTCGGGACGACCGTGGCACCTTGCGGTAGCCACAAGCCCTTAAGCGCTTGCTTGCCCTTTTACTGGCCTTGTAGAACGTGCATAGGGTTTTTCTTGGCATTGCTGTAGGAAGAGTTCCATGAGGCCCTGTACCCTTACCTGGGACCCTCTGTACCTACACTTTTTATGGGTTATCCCTAAAAATTCGGGGTAGTTGCTACGACTAAACTGTAGATAAGTAGATTTGCAGGTAGACCCTAAAAACAAAGCACCCAGTTCCTAAGCCCTAGACAACCCTAAACCCAGAAGTTCCGAGCGTTTGGCTAGGACTTTTTCCTCCTACAGTTGGCCCCGTCAGTGGGCTAGCAAAAAAAGGCCTATAACCCTCAACCCCAAACCTTTCAACCTTTGAACCTTTAAACCTTTAAGCCTTTAAACCTTCAAACCTTTAAACCTTTAAAACCTTTTAAACCTTTAAAACCTTTTTAAACCTTTTAAACCTTTTAAACGTTTTAAACCTTTTAAACATTTTCAACCTTTTAAACCGTTTAAACCTTTTCAACCTTTTTAAACCTTTTAAGCCGTTTAAGCCTTTTGAACCTTTTAAACCTTTTGAACCCTTTAAACCTTTTAAACCCTTTAAACCTTTAAACCTTTAAGCCTTTAAGCCTTTAAGCATTTAAACCTTTAAACCTTTAAACCTTTAAACCTTTTAAACCTTTTAAACCTTTTGAACCTTTTGAACCTTTCAACTGCCCCAAGCAAACAAGAACCCTCACCCTGAACCCTGAACCCTAAACCCTAAACCCCCACACCCAGCAAACAATAACCTCCAACCTGGACCTAGGCTTGGAGGGGGCGCCATTGCAGCTCAAGGTATCGAGCTGCATGGTGAGGAGGCCTGGCATATGGTGTGGGGGTTTAGGGTTTAGGGTTTAGGGTTTAGGGTCGCAACTTGGGGGGACCCCCTGCAAACAGGGATCTACACAGGGTTTCGGGTTGAGGGTGTACGGTTTGGAGCTTTGCGTAAAGCTGGCAGGTCCCACTGAAGCCATTCTTTGTCAGAACTCCAGTCCGGGAGGGGGGGGAGGCGTACTTCCCCTAAACCCCAAACTTGGGCCCCAAACCCTTTCAGCCGTGCACCAAGCCCTGCTTGTCATGTTTTTGGGGTTTGGGGGTTTTGGAGGTTACCGCACACCCGCAGCCACCCCGAAGGCTAGGATTTAGTGTTTAGGGTTTAGGGTTTAGGGTTGAGGGGCTTCCCACGCAGAATCCGGAGCCTGGCGACAGGTGACCTTTCTCAACTGCAGGGCACCAGAAGGCCAAGGGGGCGCAATCTATAGCCAGCAACTTGGGGACCAAGTTGAACCCCCGGGTTTAGGGTTTAGGGTTTAGGGTTCAGGGTTTAGGGTTTAGGGTTTAGGGTTTAGGGTTTAGGGTTTGACATGCCTTAATAGGGGTTATAGCATGTATAGGATATGTGACCCCACAAGGGTTTATGGTTCATGGACCCTACTATAGGGATTCTAGTCTGCATAGGGTATATGACCTCAATTGTCCAGGGCTGAAGACCCCAAAGGTTCCCCTCAATATACTCCAAATATGGTCCTTATACTACCCTCAGGATCTTGCAACAGGGTCCTTCAAGCCCAAGGCCTTAAGGAAGTCATTAGGGTACATTTAGTCCCCAAGGTATGGCGTGGACATGTCAGCCAAACGGGTGACCTTCTGGCTCTGCGCCTGGGGCTGGCCATAGTGCAGCTTAGGGTTCAGTGTTCAGGACTTAGGGTTAAGGGTCTAGGATTTAGGGTTTAGGGTTTAGGGTTTAGAGGCTTGGGTTGTGGGCTGGTTTAGGGTTTAGGACTCTCACTTTCTGGGCTCCCCAAAGTAACTAGGCGTCGCCTTGAAAGCGATGGGCCCTCGAAGTGCATGAGCGCCTTGGGGACCAAATGAACCCGAAATTGGGGGGGCCATGCGCTCTCCATACTAGCAGGGCGAATAAGGCAACATGAACCACAATCCCTTTTAGGGTTCCATTAATCATATTCCCCTCTACATACTATCAGCCCGAATCAAGGCAATATGAACCCTAAACTACACCCTTCTAGAGTTCCCGAGGTCAAGCAATCAAAAGGCCTAAGCCCTAAACCCTAAACCCTAAACTAAACCCTAAACCTTAAACCCTAAGCCCTAAACCCCTACTGTGCTAGCAGTGCCAAGGTTCCGCAGTGACGGGCTCAGCCATCTGGTCCGACTCGCACTTGGTGTGCCTTGCTTTGGTTGGCTTTAGGGTTCAGGGTTCAGGGTTCAGGGTTTAGGGTTCAGGGTTTAGGGTTTAGGGTTTGTCATGTGTTGGAAGTTGTTCGCAGTCAAGTTGCAAAATAAAGGTTCAGGGTTTAGGGTTTAGGGTGTAGGGTTTTGGGTTTAGGGTCTCACCCGAAACGCTAAACGCTGAACACGGTTTAGCGCTCCGTGTGCTGGAAGTCAAGGGACTTTACCTTGGATCCCGAAGGTGGTACGCTTTGGTTTGGGGACCCTGCTTAACAATTCCGAAGCGAACATAAGGTCCATGTGGGTATTTCCCAGAATAGGGGTACCCCGTTTATACCCACAAATAGAATAGGATCCCCTTACAGTTCCCCCCGAAAGGGTACCCCTCATTTCCGGAAACCCCCCATATTCCGAGCACCCTAAACCCTAAACCCTAAACCCTAAACCCTAAACCAGAAACCCTAAACCCCACAACCTTAGACGTATGAGCCTTCATCCCTTGAGTACAGTTGCACCAGCCACCCATAGCCACCCAACCTTGGGAGGAGCCTCCTAAGAACGCTGAGCGATCAGTAGGAAACCCTAAACTCTAAGCCCTAAACCCTAAGCCCTAAGCCCTTATAAACCCTAACCCTAAACCCTAAACCCCACATTAGACAATTGGGAGGCACAGTCGTGTCGTCCCTTTCTTTTTGGATCGCTGATTTGTACGCAAAAAGATGGGCACCCTTTTCTGCCAGGGTGATGTGGGGCCTGGTTACAAACACCAGCCCCTTTCAAACCCTATGAAACCTCTTCAGCCCATTATTGTTTTGCAAAGCCTTTTAAGTTTTAAGCCCTTAGAACCCCTTCAACCCTCTACACCCTTTAAACTTTTCTCGAATTCCCCGTTAACTCCGAAAGCCTGAACCGTTTTTTGTAGCCCTAACCCTAAAGACCCTCAAGCCACACCCTTACAGTATCTAAACCCTAAACCCTAAACCCTAAACCCTAAACCCTAAACCCTAAACCCTAAACCCTAAACCCTAAACCCTAAACCCAAATCTGCAAAAAAAGCGTGGAAGCCGGGGAGGCTACGAGGTCCTTCCGTCGATGTTACGCAGCTTCTGCAGCAAGCAGCCGCTTCTTCTCTTCGAGGTCTTTCTTTCGGGGGTGAAGAGGGTTTATCTTTGTGGTACTCTAGGATTTAGGGTTTAGGGTTTAGGGTTTAGGGTTTAGGGTTACTGTAACTTTAGATCCTTACCTTTTTTGGGGTTTATTGGGTTTCTGATTAAGGCAGCTAAAAGTTTGATTTATAGCTACCCTCCTGAGTGCAGCCAAGTTATGAATAGGGTTTCTAGGGTTTATACGGTTTAGGGTTTCCGGGGTTTATAGGGTTTTTTGGGGTTCTTGCACGGTGGTGAGGAGACCTGCTACAGAAAGTTCTTGCGCGGCGGCGGATAGTCCGTGAAGCATACTGAACACACTGGCGAGCAATCGAAACCCTTGCCGGCTAGGGCTTCTAGGGCTATGCCCTCAATCCCCGAAGCCTTTTAGGGGCTTTCAAAGGAAATATTCGACAATGGCATATGAAAATATTCTATCTTACATACTTTCAGATATCCTGAAACCCTAAAAACCCTAAACATCTCTTAATTAACCACATACGTATTCGGACGTACATACATATATGTATTTCCATATATGTATTACATTCCTTTTATAAATATAAATATAAATATAAATATAAATATAAATATAAATATCTTTAAACAAATAAATAAATCAATAAGTAAATGAAGAAAGCAAACAAGGGATCCAGAGTAGAGGGTTGAGGGGGGGAATTCGTTGTTCAGGATCTGGAGGAAGGGGGGGGGGGGCGGCCAGGTAAGTGGAAAAGCTGACGTCCCAGTCCTGAACCCTAAACCCTCAACCCTGAACCCTGAACCCTGAACCCTAAACAAGTCGCCTCAACCTCTCTGCCTCGAGCCTTCCACCCCAGTCGTTCCTCTGCTACCCCCCTCTATACTACCCCCCTCCCCCCTCCCCCCATAAGAAGAGGTCGGCATCGGAGGTAGTCCCTGCACTCTGACCACTTCAGGGATGTTTTTGCCTATTTTTTTTTTTACGGGGGGGGGGGGGGGGGGGGAGCCTAGGGGGTAGGAAAGAAGGGGTAGTCGGGGAACCCATGATTCTCCCTACATCCTAAGCCCTAGACCCTAAACCCTAACCCCGTCAGCCTCGAAGTCGCCCAGCGATGCGGATTCGCCCCAGCTGTGCAGGAGGGAAAAGAAACCCTAAACCTTAAACCCTAAACCCTAAACCCAAGAAACAAGGCGATGCCACTGCAAGGGCAAAAAGGGCTCAGCTACTTCCATCCTCCGGGCCGGCTTCCGCCAGCAACTGGCCGGCATTTCAGCCGGTCGGGCTTGGGGTTTAGGGTTTTGGGTTTTGGGTTTTGGGATTAGGGTTTAGGGTTACTAGGGTTGCTAGGGTTAACTAGGGTTAACTAGGGTTAACTAGGGTTACTAGGCCTACTAGGGTTACTAGGGTTACTAGGGTTTACTAGGCTTGGGGTCTTGGGAGTGACAGATTCGGGCTTTCGGGGCTTCTTGCGCAGCTCGCTTACCTGAACATACTCCTCAGTAGGCCCTTGGGACATCTTTATGTTCCCTTATTGATATTGGGTGCAAGAGGATCATATTTAGGACTATTTTTCAGAGGGCTTTGGGGGCCATCCTAGATACAGTGTTTGTCTTTGTTGCTTCTTCTGGCGCGTTTAGACTTGTTGGACTTCTTGTCCGAGGCGCACAATGCTTGTGGACATGGACGTCTTTACCTCAACGTGCAGCTACGGTCTCATTGCGACCGGGGCCTTCTCGCTCGTGATCCGGAACGCCACGTTTTCCTTCCTAAACCGCGGAGCTATCCAGGCGGACTTTGTTTTAGAGCTGGACATCATACACAGCCGGATGGAGCACATGCAGCAGTTCCTGCAGGCCCGCAGCGCGCGCAAGGTGAGCCTCGCCGGTTTGGATTTGTTCTGCACCCCTGTCTCCCCGACTCGCTGCATCGACTTGAACTTCTGGACTTCGGGCGCAGAGATCGCGATCTCGGACGTCCAAATCCGTCACAGGGTTGTTTCTCTCCATAGTGGGGACGCGATGCTGCTGGAGTACCCTGTAAGTACCAGCTGGGCTGATCGTGAGTTCGAAGCCAAGCTGACGTGCTCGGCTGGCTCATATCCGGATGTTACCTTGGAAGACCAGGACCATTGGGAGGTGAAGACAGTACCCGAGCAGAAGTGCCTCGACAGCATGGTGCAGCATGACGACAGCAACTCAGCCACTCCAATACCCCTAAACCCCGTTACCCCCTGAAACACCCTCAATGCAAACAAACCCTAAACCTAAGGCTTGCTTTGGGGGTTGAGGTTTGGAGGGTTTAGCTGCAAGAAAGACCGTTTGGTTGGCACTGAGGGTTCACACACTGGACTGCTCCACCTTGGTTCCTGAAGGTTGCTGCATCACGGCACCCGGAACTGGTGGCCCTGGGCATGTCATGCAGCACTCGGTTCATTTGAGCCGCAGCCGGCAACTGGTAGCATTCCGAACAGTACGAAGAGTGGGCACAGTTACCGTAGTAAGCAGAGTATCAGGAAGCACACAGGTTGTAACCTTTGGCATGGGTAAAGGATTTAACATGGGTTGGGGGATTCAACCCTAAACCCTAAACCCTAAACCCTAAACCCTAAACCGGGTGGCAAAAAAAAACCGTCAAGTCGACGTAAGGACAGATCGCCCCTGCAGCGAGTCATTCCCATGCCTGTGCATGGATGCTTTCTGCAATCAGTGTACCTGGCGTGGGGTTAGGGTTTAGGGTTCAGGGTTTAGGGTTGAGGGTTGAGCGGTTGAGCGGTTGAGCGGTTTAGCGGTTGAGCGGTTGAGCGGTTGAGCTAAGTGAAGCTTCTGTGTGGTAAGAGGGAAGAAAGGAACTCTCGAAAATCCGTGTTTGGAGCCAGATAAGGTACCGTTCGGACAAGGATGAAGGTGCTGAGGGCGAGGTGTGCAGACTGCAGCTATGGAAGTTTGTCGCCGGTTCCCATATCGATGATGATGGAGCAGCAGCACATGCAGTTGAACACAGGACATGGGTTGCCCTACCTTTTTAAGTGTGTTCCAAAGCGGAATCCCATATTGCAGCATTGGGTTTGCACTATAAAGCTAACGGCTAAAAATGTAGGCTTGGAGTTCTTATAGGCCTTCTACACGCAGATGCTGCCAAGCGATGCAAGCTAACCGACAATGCCTCCCCCCCCCCCCCCCCGGAAATGTTCCGCACATGGGCACAAAACCAAAGCCGAACAGCCGACTAACGGATCAGGCCGCTGGCACTGGCAGAAGAACTATTGCAATGACTGCAACCTTGTCCAAGAGTCTGTGGAGTCTATCATCTCCTGTGGGAAGGGCACGATGGTCCTACCTCGCGGGATCATGGAAGCTTGGCGTATGTCATCCTCAGGTGACTTAAAACTGTCCGGCTTCGCACCTGTGAACTCCTCTTGCCTAAGGTAACTCTGCATCCTATGCCGGCAGTCCCGGATCGCCAGACCATCCTAGCCTGGCGTTGTCCGAACCCGGGTGCGTGTCCTGGACACAAGCAAGAGCTCGGACTGGAGGGCCTCACTCGACAGTGCTCTCCGGGCTATGCAGAAGGCTGGCAGACAGCGGCACACTGGGTATAGGTGCAAGCGTCCCCGGCATCATGTTCAGAGCACGTCGGGGTAGGGACCAAAGTGCTTGTAAGCAATATTTGGGGGGAATCGGCTTTGGGGAAGATGAGCCCCACACCCTCAAAATTGTGGCTCAGGGAGCGTTCGCTACGCAGGTATGAGCCGGCTACGTCCTCAAAAAAAAACAACCACCCGCTGGCCTTCTCCCCCCTCGCCCCGCTCCCCCTTGGTCACATGAGCAAGCGCACCGACTTGGCGTGGCATACCCATTCACGAAGGTTGCACGAAGTTTGCACGAAGTCGTGCAGCAACGCATGAGGAGAGAACCAGGCAACCTGGACGCTTCTGCCTAATCACCTATGTCAGTGAGCATGGGCCGAAATCTGGGACCTTTTCGTCAAGTACAAGACTGTGGGCCCTTGCACATTAATACGTTTTAAAAAGACCATATAACTGCCACAACTTAGAGAAGCGCCCATATGGCAGCAGAAGATGCGAGCCGTCTACGTCCCTCACCTCACCGCTGGCTGCGACAGCAGGCATCCCCGGCTGCGTCCAATGTGCACCTGGATACGGTCGAAAGGCGCAAGGTTTCACAACGCATCGGTTGTTGTTCAGCTGATTGAAGGCTTTGCAGTGGGAGAGAGCGAGAGAGAGGCAGCGAGAGAGCGAGAGAGCGAGAGAGTGAGAGAGAGAGAGAGAGCCCGGGGGCTTTCCCATGCCCCCTGGCAGAAAGAGAAAGAGAAAGAGAGAGAGAGAGAGAGAGAAAGAGAGAGAGAAAGAGAAAGAGAAAGAGAGAAAGAGAAAGCACTCCCGCAAGCCCAGCAGAAGAAGAGAGAAAGAGAGAGAGAGAGAGAGATAGAGAGGGAGGGACGTCGGAATCAGAGTCCAGAGATCGAGAGAGATCACAGGGATTGGTTTCACAGGGAAGGTCGTGGAAGGAGTAAAGCCTGATCCATGAAGTTAAGCGGAGTCGTGCAATCGACAGGGGCCTCAAAACCTAAACCCTCAAGCCTCAGCATCCCAACGACCAGCCCACAATTCTGTCAGGACTCCACCGTGGTAGAAAGGGCCATATAGGCCATAAGCCAAGTCTGCAAGTTCACGGCCCGCAAACCCACAGCCATGGGATCCGAGGCGGTGAACGGCGTCTAACCGCGACTAAGTATGCACAGGTTGACGTCATCAACAAGTCCAAGTCCAAACCCACAGCCAAGCGCCAGTGGTGTGCGGCAGCGTGTGACGGAGCGTGGTCGGTGGAAACCCGACATGTGGTGGGATTATTGACGATTGACCGCAAAACCCCGAGAGCCCACCGTTCCCAGAAGCCGCCATCCCGGATTGTGTTCCCCCTAAGGCCCCCGAAAAACTAGCTTTTCAGGGCCAACCCTAAACTGAGCAGCCTCTGAGATCCTGAACGTTAAATCCCCGAGGCCCTAAAACCTTCACTCGGAGGAGTGGACCGTTCCGGCTATGCGTGCGACTCGTTTTTTACCACCAGTCAACCTAAACCCGACACACATTAAACCTCCGCCCAAAACCCGACTTGAGCCCAGCTGTAAACCTTAAACTCCATGAAGCCCTCAAATGAAGCCTGGAATAGCCTGGAGCTGGGAAGGTGAACGACCCCTTCATTTGCCAGCAGTGCCCGCCCAGACGGTTCCAGTGGTCCATGTTAGCCCCCTGGCGTTGGCCAGAACAGGCTTAGGTTGGGACCCGGAGTAGGCCCTTATTTTCTTTGTCTGGGGTTGGGGTTCCCCCCTTAAAGCCAAAAAAGGGCACTTTTTGTATTCCCTAAACCCTAAACCCTAAAGCCTAAACCCTAAACCCTAAACCCGGTTACTCCTGGGTCGAGTAGGTTAGGGTTGAGAGCTTAAGGAAACTAACGGGTTCAGGGAAAAAGCCGCCGTGGGATGCCAAAACGAGTTTCTTGCAGGTGACCTGCAGCCCTGTAGGTAGCAACACAGAACTGTGTAGGATAGTCCCATTTAATATACTGTGATATGGTATATATATATATATTGATGTATATAGATCATATAACTCACTTACATTAGAATGATCCCATGCCCCTCTGAAGCTCGGTGTCCTTGCGGGTTTAGGGTTAGGAAACAGTCCTGGGCTGCGAGGTAATAAGGGCGAGGCAGGCAGTAGTGAGGAGTCCTGCTGCAAAAAGGGTTCGGAAAAAGAGCGTCCGTGTCAGCTCCAGCATACAACCGGGCCAGAACTGAGAAGCCTGATGCAAACTGTGCTTTCGGGTTTAGACAGAAATTTTAATAATTACAAAAATATTTTAAACAATAAATAAAACACATAGGGTGTAGAGAGCAACTGAACGATTGTCCAGACGTCGGTAAGTTCGGCATCCTGCTGAGCCTGGAGTCAAAGAAGGTTTCGCCAAAGGGTTTGGAGGCGATTGGGTCGAAAGGCTTTTCGGGTTCAAGATTGGGCGGTGCTTCGCCGCAGTATATCACACATCTTGTTGTGAGGAACTTGTGAGCTAGGTGCCCTATGTACCCTCGTCAAAGGCTATATGGTGGGAGCAGGGGGAGTGTTATGTACTTCCCAAACACGCTGGTAGCTAGTAAGTAAGCCGCAAAATGTCCCGATGCACACAGCAACCCTAAACCATAAACCCTAAACCCTAAACCCTAAACCAGAGGCCTTGAAGCATGCCGGCCTCTTCGTGCTTGGCTCCCTGGCAATGCTCTGGGCTTTAGGGTTTAGGGCCTTTAGGGTTTAGGCTTTGAGATGTCCAGCGGTTTCGGGCGTTTAGGGTTGAAGGTTCAGGGCTGATGAATCAAAAAAAACCATTTTTGAAACAAAGGGCGCAGGTGTAGTAGAAGGTTTTTGAGCAGTCCTGACATGGAGGTTCGGCAAGAAAGGCTGACCAGGAGAGAGCTTCGGTTTAGAAGCAGCCCGAAGTCGGAAGGGTTGCTTTGATGCCGAATCTGAGTTACTGCTTCTGAGCTCTCCCTAAGTTACTAAACGCCAACCCAAACTCCAAACCCCAAACCCCAAACCCTAAACCCTGCCTAAACCCTCCTCGTGGACACTGAGGTCTAATCTCTGCTCGAAAGGCCTCGCGAAGGCGAACCAGCGTCATCTTCAAGATCATGGTTTCCTTTGGGACTGCAGCTGACGCTCTGCTCTCTAAAGCCCGACCAGGATGGGATTTTATGCCCCATAAGCCCTCAGAAAGCCCTTGTGTCGGGTTAATTATGCGGATTGCACGGCCTGATAGCCCATCCTGGTATGTATGCAGGGCACTATGTGACGGAGGCTTCTTCCTTTCAATCAGGTAGGAAAAAAACCTATTTTACCAACCACAAGGCACCCCGCTCAGTTGCGACATTTGAAGTAACTTTTGGCCAATTCAGAACAATAGCTTCGACCGTTTCAATCTGTTCAGGCCGATATGGTTGACGTTACTAAATAAAGTACTTAGAGCTTGTAAAGTCTATGGACTAAGTATACCAAGTAGTTAGCATGCATTGTGCCCGCAAACTTGGTTTTCACAGACCCGAAACCATAAACCCCTTCGGCTAAGGCCGCCGAAAGTACCACTGTCTGGCTCTTTTTTCACCCTGCCCTTGTGGGGTTTCTGGGTCAGCGCTCGTCCGGAGTCCTGAACCGCGGAGATTTGTTCACTGCATCTCACCCAGATTTGCTTTGTTGCCCCCCCCCCCCCATGTTGCGCAACTCCCGCCCCTATTTCAAAAGGTGTAACAAATCTCTCTCTGCCCCACACAGCGTATGGGCTCGGTGGTGCTGTCCTCAGTGTGCCTTTTTGTGTTTAAGTATTCCCGAAACCCTAAACCCTAAACCTAAGCCAATACCCTAAACCGCCGAAACCCCGCTGTGAAGCCAAGAACTGCATCCTCCAAGCTGTCTCCAGTCTCAGCGAGTACCAGCTGGCAGCCCTGGCAAGTTCAGTTCCGAGGTTTAGGGTTTAGGGTTTAGGGTTTAGGGTTTAGGGTTTAGGGTTTAGGGTTTAGGGTTTAGGGTTTAGGTTTCGGCTTTTTAGCTCCAAGGGTCCCGGGTCCGGGATTCTAGGTCATCAGGTCAAATGTGCCAACTACTTACTGTTGGTTCTTGTAGTGCCTGAAGGAATGGGGCGAGCCGGCGAACCCTACCCTAACTGGAACCGTAGGCTTGCAAAAGAGATGCCAAGGCAAAGAACTCCATCCGGCGATACCTTGGGCTGACAGAGACCCTGACATCTGGGACAAGCTTGTACAACTTGCTTAGCTCCCGGTTGAGATTTAGGGTCTGAGGTTTAGGGTGCCCATGGCTTATATGACTTATAAGTACATAAAACAGTATATGATGTAGACCATGGATGTACCCACATGTCTGAGTATGAGATATAAGCATATAGCCCTTTAAGGAAGAGTGAGGGCGGTAAGACCAGGATGGGGTAACTAGTAAATATAAACATATGTAGGAACATGAATTGATACGCATATATACAACCCTAAGCCCTAAGCCTTAAACCCTAAAGCTTAAACCCTAAACCCTCGCTTCAGCACGCTGGCTGACAGCCTTGGTCTTGGGGCAGGCTTTATTTCTGGAAATCTCATGCAGGGTGGGCTCCACCCCCCCCCCCCCCCCCCCTCCCCCTCACCGCCCCCCACCCCCCCGAGGCTACGAATGTCTTCTGCAGACCACCAGGGTACCGGAGTATGGATGGGTGATTATTGGGCTCGTGCCACCGCTGCTGCTACTGTTTTTCTGCCGCTCGGAGCACGAAAGGGGACGATCATCGCATTTCGGGCAAGCCTCAAGGGAACCGAGCGTTACTATTGCGATCGCATAAGCCATGATAAGTCATGGGCTTCTCGTCAGCATGCGGTTGGCAATATTCTGCTTTGAGGTTAGCTTGCTCCTCGAAGCATAGTATGGGGTCCGTCTGGAAGCAGACTTCTCTATGAGATCCCATGATCACCAAGGATGTAAGATGCCCTGACAAACTTGCTTCTTTGTGATGTAGTATATTGTCCAGCACCAGTTAGACATGATGCGCGCCTCGTAACTGGGACGTGTTCCATGTGAATGGGGTCTTCATCGCGTAAACACTTCGCCCACCTTTTGGCACAGGCTGCTGAGCATAGCAAGCATCACATGTAGGATCGGCATGCCAGTACCATGTTGACCCCGTCGACTCTTCAATCATGCTTCTGGCACCCCAAACTCGCTAGCTGCTTGTAGTCCCAAAGTCAGTCTCAATGCTTCTCGTGCTCTGGAAGGTTGGATTGTGGGGTCCATCGCAAGCCGCTACGGCTTCCGACACGACATTCTGATGCTGCAAGCCACTTTGGTCCTGGGATGCTCAGCGGATATTGTCTCCAAGTGGGCGATGCCAATACAGCTGGCTTTCGGTTGGGAAGGTTTGCTGTCAAAAGGGATTGGCAAGACTCCAAGGGGCCGATGCTTGGGGGGATGCAGAATCATGCTGCCGTGATCAGGGCCTAAACAGCCGTATCCCTGAAGTCTCACCTCAAAAGCCCAGAGTTTCGGCTGAGCGGTATGGCTTTGTACGCATGAGCCGATGAACGCAATTCTGAGACGCGAGTCAACTGATCTAGTTCACACAGGCATGTTTCTTTCACTAACTAAACCCTAAACCCTAAACCCTAAACCCAGGTAACCTGCGAACAAGTCCCCCTAAACCCTAAACCGTCACCAAGCCTAAGCCCTAAACTCTAAACCCTCGGAGCTCAGACTGGCTTGTGCTGCCGAAGCCCTAAACAAACCCTAAACCCCAATGCCTTGCCTTTGTGGCGCGTCTGTGCGCGAGTCGAAATCCGGACCCAGGCAACAACTACATGGGAAGCGCATGTGCAAGCTTCATGAAGCCGCTGTCGTGCTTCCAGATGCAGAAAAGCCGCTGAGCTCTTGAACTTACTTCTGGGCCTGGTGGTACTTTACTGTAACTTTTGAAACCGGCATTTAAGATGAAGACCTTCAAACAGTCCCCATCCAGTACTGCAGTGTACTGTGCCCGTGCGAAAGATGTTTCAGTTCTGACCTCGAAGGCTTGAAGTTTCCCCGTAAAAAATTGGGCGTTTACGAGAATGAGGGACCCCGAATATAGACCCCCAAATAGTAAGATCCCCGTTCTAATAAGGACTCTAATAAGGTACCCCTAAGATCGCAAACCCTCAAATATGTTTCTTGCCTGTCATTCTTTAATCCGGGCATGTCAGGGTTCGGCGGGCGCAGGCCATTCGTCGGGTTTAGGGTTTAGGGTTTAGGGTTTAGGGTTTAGGGTTTAGGGTTTAGGGTTTAGGGTTTAGGGTTTAGGGTTTAGGGTTTAGGGTTTAGGGCATGTCTTGTGGGTTTGGTTCTCTGAGGCGTATGGGGAGGGAGGGGGTATGGGAGCATCGGCGGCGTGTCGTGCCTCTCACTCCTCCGACGGCCTCAGCCAGAATAGCTTGGCTGACGTGTTTTGCTTTCGTGGCGCTTTGGTACCTTCCCTGTCGGCGCGTCAGACCTTAGCTTAGTCGCCGAATCCGGCTGAACTTCCTCACATCATTCCAACTCATCTAGTTATCGCCCCCAATTCAACCATCAACCCCAAAGACCCAAGCCTCAAACCCCAAACCCCAAACCCCAAACCCCAAACCCCAAACCCCAAACCCCAAACCCCAAACCCCAAACCCTAAACCCTAAACCCTAAACCCTAAACCCTAAACCCTAAACCCTAAACCCTAAACCCTAAACCCTAAACCCTAACCCTAGAAGCCCTATCAAGCCCGAAAGAGCCATGAGGCGTCGGAGGCCACAAGCCCCACTTCTTCTGCTCCTTCACCTTGGGGCCCTGCCGATCTCTGCGCTTTCAAGTCCCCGGGCTCGGGTTTTACAAGGTGTAAGAAGTACATGTTACATAATATACACATAAACAGACAAACAAATAATTAGTATAGACATATATATATATATAATAGTGATATACATATATATATATAATATTCAATACGGTCGCATAAACATATATATATATAGATGTAGGTATATTGCTTTAGGATCCCCACAGGGCTAGCCTAGCTTGAGGTGTTGTGGCCTATGGCCCCAAATGACGATAGGGGTTCAGGGTTTAGGGTTTAGGGTTCAGGGTTCAGGGTTTGGGCTGCAAAAAAGGGCCCTAAACCCTACATACGAAAGCCCTAAATAAGCCCTGGGCCCTAAGCCTAGGAGGGAAGCTTCGGATTGAAAAGTGTAGGCTCGGGCGTGAGGCTTGGATGGTCGCTGACTTGAAGCATATGTCAACGGCCGGTTTAGGTTTTGGTGTTAATCATTTCGGAGAAAGAAAAAGGAGGAGTTTGTCTGGGTTCCTACAGAGGGCTTAGAGTATCCAGAAAGACAAGCTTCCAGTGCCCAAATGACAGGGCAGAACCCCGCGATTGAGCCTATGGTCCGCCACCGATGCCTTGATTTGCGCATCAAGACCTACACAGAAAAGTTGGCACCACCTACTCCAGGTCAGCTGGGCTGGTGGCGCGAAATCAGAAAGCAGAAAACCTGTAGCAACGGACAGGGCATTGTAGTAATAACAACAGCAGTAACTAATAGTAATAATTATAATTAGTAATTAATGAGAATAAGAATCGTACTAATCGTGATGTAATCATTGTGGGTCTGCAGTTCAGGCTACGGCTGCAATCGGCATCTTCGTATTGATTCTGGCCGTACCCATGCGCCCTGCCCTTGTCAACTCGGATGTTCGTGAAAGCGCACGGCTCTAAACCCCAAACCCCAAACCCTAAACCCTAAACCCCGAACCCTAAACCCTAAACCCTAAACCCTGAACTGCAACATCCGGGAACCCTGAAACCCAAAGTCGTCTCCAGCAGGCCTTAAACTCCCGGGAGGTCGAGAGAAGGGTTGGAGAGCGTGTGTCTAACACGGCTTTGGGGGGTTTAGGGTTTAGGGTTTAGGGTTTAGGGTTTAGGGTTTAGGGTTTAGGGCCTGTGCACTCTCCACCCCAAATCCCAAACCTCCCCAGCCATTCCCCCCTCCCCATCGGGCACTCCAAGAATTCTGTGGGGCTTAACATCTAGCAACCCACATATGGAGGGTGGGGAAAAAGCCTCTAAACCCAAAACCCTAAACCCTAAACGTCTGAATCCTGAAAATTTCGGCGCTGGAGTTTTCGGGCCGACCACCGCCCCACAGCATGTGCCGAGTTCTCTTGAGACTAGGTGGTCAGTTCTCGGACAGATTGACTATCCTTTTGGGGTGCCCCGAGGTATTCTTGGAGTCGGTAGCAAAAAGCCCTAATTCAAAGACCCTAAGCCCAAACCCAACAAAAATCGCAGCATAGTTGTGAGAACTGGCCAGGTATTGGCTGGAGATGATTCGGAGATCGCACAGCTGGCGTCCGGAAGCTCGAAGACAGAGCATGGGATTTCTCATCTCTGGCTACAGAATGAGTGTGGAATGGTGGGAGGCCAGCCGTGGTAAGGTTTATTGGTACTTGCTCGGGTTTTAAGGGTTTCTGAGCTCGGGATAATGGCCTCCAAAAACTCTTAGATTTCTGTGACACTCTTCCCTTCTTCCCCCCAACCCTCAACCCTAACCTGCGAAAAAGAACCGGAGGGCAACCAAGAGCTCCCTTGGCAGGTCGTACCACTGCTGCGGAAAGTGTGTCTGCTCCAAGTACGAGTCTTCTTTCCCCCGAGCCTGGGCTGTCTTCAAAGGCGCAGATGATATCCTGCGCATGCTAGCAAACCCTAAACCCTAAACCCCAAACATCCCTAAACCCAAACCCTAAACCCTAAACCCTGCTGGCAGCGACAAGAAAACCATCCTTCTGTGTGGGGGTTTTCAGCACAACCCAGGAGTTACGCGGCCTCCACGAACCTTGCCCTCACCCTTGGCATCCTCATGGGTAGCCTCACTCTGCACGCCTTTGTGCAGCCGTACGAGGTGGGGCGGAGGGTTTAGGGTTTAGGGTTTTTTGTTCAGTGTTTAAGATTTGGGGTTTCTTGGCTTTAGGGTTTTAATCCTTATGGGGTTCTAGGGCAGCCAGTGAACATGGAAACGCAGCATCCCAATGCTAGTGTCTTCAGTCACCTGCATGCTCGCTCAACAGCAGTAGTACCAGTATTCCGCGCGCGCGCGAGAATCCCTCAAAAGCCCCACCAAAAAGTGTCCTGGTGTTAGAAGCAAAGAAGTCTCCATTCCTCCTTTCCTCATGCCAGTTATGCCTCTACCCCGTCCTCTACTAATTGCTTAGGAACCCGCCCCCCCCCCCCCCCCCCCCCCAAAAAAAAAAAAAAAGCAGATTCTTCCTTGTTAGGGCAATATCCAGGGGTTCATTGTAGTACTTAGTACTTGGTACCTTGTTTGAGCCGGTGATCTCCTCAAAGCCATCGGCAAGGACTCCTTCCTGAACCGAATCGAGGGTTCCACCCTGGCGGCCAGTTGCATATCGCTGCTGCTGGTGCCCCTGCATGCATCTTGAGACCTTGTAGCATGCAATTCTCGTTTAGGGTTCAGGGTTTATAGGGGTTAGGGTTCAGGGTTCAGGGTTTATAGGGTTTCGGGTTTAGGGTTTAGTTGCTATCGTTTGGTCTGGGAGGGCTGCTTCGGAAGAGGTTCTTATGAGAGTACCAACTCAGTGAAGATAAACCCTAAGCCCTAAACTTTGTCATAGTTGGGTACCATTTTACATTTTTAAGGGTACTTAAACCCAATAAGGAATAAGAAATATTTTTTAACATTGTCCCAACCATGAACTAGTAAACCCTCATGAGAAGACAATTTCCCTGGAACTTGAACACTGCGAAGAAGCGACTGGGAGGCAAGCTTGGCCGTGGCCACGGAGTGGAACAAGGCGCATCCCAAACCCTCAACCGGCTTCCGCACTAACACACTCGAGCGTAAACCCTAAACCCTATAAACCCTGAACCCTAAATGCTGCCAGAATGAAACCGTGACGCTCCGGTATCTCGTGTTGCTGACCTTCGTCCTGGCCTCCAGCTCCTGGGCGCAAATCTCTCGCAGAGGTTTCGGCGGGTGTCGGCTCCCAACGCCCCCAACCATTCATTGAGTTTACGTTTTTAGATTTATAGGGTTTAGTGGTAAGGAGTCCTGCTGCACAAATAGGGTTTAGATGCAACAGGGTATAGGGTTTCCGGAGTTTTTGCTCCGGGCACTTAAGTTGCAGACCGGAACAAATACGAAAAGAATGAGTGAACCATCATCTCCAACGGTCTCCAACGTCTGCCCGAAGGGTCGATATGGCTTTTAGGGTCTATAGGGTTTAGGGTTGAGGGTTTAGGGAGCAAAGCTTCTGCCCTCAAAGTTGGTCTGCTTGATGGGTGGCCACAAAAAGGCGCGCAAGTTTCTACAGCTTGGTAGGCCATTGCCCTTTTTTTGTGGTTATGCGTTCCCGTATAAAATAAGCTAGCCAAAAAAGGGTGCCCTTATTATAACACGGTTACTGGGCTACCAAGACAAGCCAAAGCACCTTGGCTTTTTCTCTCTGAGGCGCTGGGCCTCCCAGCAGGGATAGGTTTGACTACTTTCTTGCCCTTAATAATCTTCATAATCCTTATAAAGCCACCAAAATGAAGTTTAAAAAGTATTGCCCTTAAGACCCTACATACTCCTGATAAAGCCAGAAAGTTTGATTCTTTGTAGGGCCCCCGAACAAACCCTAAATCCTGAACAATGAACCCTGAACCCTAAACCCTAAACCCTGACCCTCTCTGGGATCACTCCGCAGGGAACAGTCGTTAGGCGGGTGGCAAAAAAAGCCCTAAACCCTAAACCCTAAACCCTAAACCCTAAACCTGTCATTGATTGAGGTTCTGTGGTGCTCTTTGCGCTGCTGGCAAGGCGTGGCCTGCAGTGCCCTTGCAATAGTAGAGTGATTCGGGCTTTAATAGGGTATAAGGATTTAGGGTTTAGGGTTTAGGGTTTAGGGTTTAGGATTTACAGCTTAGGCATCTTTTCTCTGCTGTTGAGCTGATACGGGGATCTTATCATTGCAAATGCTGCGCGTCGACTGCCTCGGCATATATACCCTAGTATACCTTAATATAACCTAGTATATATATATATATACCCCAACTCTAAACCCTAAACGGGTTCCATAGGGGGGTCCCTACACAACCCTGTCTCAAAACCCTAAACCCTAAACCCCAAACCCCAAACCCCAAACCCCAAACCCCAAACCCCAAACCCCAAACCCTAAACCCTACCCCTGAATTCGTAGGTAGGTAAAGAGGGCCCCTGGTAGGGCAAAGGCCAGTGTATGGGGGAAGTCCAAGGCATGGCATAGTCGGAACCATCACCCAAAAGGGTCCTTGTACTCACGGTTTAGGGTTTAGGGTTTAGGGTTTAGGGTTTAGGGTTAGCAGATACTTAGATCAAACCCTCGACCCCCCAAAAACCCTATACCCTAAACCCTATCGAGACATGTACCCAGAAGAAACCCTAAACTCGACCCTAAACCTTATACCTTAAAGCCTAAAGCCTAAACTCCGCCCTGGCGAAGTCATGTTGTGCAGGTCGTTTATTCAGCAGGTCGCACAGAAGCGCACCTTGGGGGCTTATGTGGAGCCTTCTAACGGCTTGATGACTCACATCATATGGCTCACTTGGGATGTTCACCCTTATGCTAACAGTCCTGAGTAGAATAGGGGTGGGGGGTACTATATTTCCAGTTAAGGACTGTTCGAATAAGGCTGGCTCACCCTAAGCCCCAAATTCGAAACCCCAAGTCCATCCCCGAACATCACCGAGTCAGGGGTCAGATGGGCATTTCCCCCAATAAAAATACCCTGAAGATGCCCCCCCCAAATAGTATCCTCCAGATTATTGTAGGAACCCCCAGAAAGGGTACCCAACTTTCGTAAACTAAGCCCTAAACCGTAAACCCTAAACCCTAAACCCTACACCCTAAACCCTAAACCCTGATTCCTAAACCCTAAACCAAGTTTGGTCCCTCTAAGGGAGGAGGCAAATCGGCTTGACACTGGAGATGGAGCGGTGCCCCTCAAGGTGGGATGTCAAAAACGTCAGGGAGAGTGGGTGCTTTCGGATGGCAAATACATGGTTCAGGGTTTTGGGGTTGAAGGGTTTGGGTTTAGGGAATCTGGCCATGCTATATACCACCAAAAATCGAGTAACAAAAGGATGCTCCGGCAATTTGGTTTACTGAAGCCCCCGAAGCTCCTGCGCAAAGAGCTCACTGGCCAGGGCCATGACCCTGACCTCCGCGACAATGTCTGACATGACCATGTCGGATTGGCCACTGGGGAGCGAGCTAACTCCCCCTTCTTTGACCGAGCAGGACAACGAGCAGGACAAGGCGCAGTAGTTCCATGCAGAACATGATCAACTCCAGACCCAAGCTCCGGGTGGGCGCGGAGAAGGCTGATGAGGGCGCACCACCAGGAGGCACACCGAAGTTCATCAACGACCACGGAAGCTGTCCCCTCCGAACTCATGTCGAGACTTGCGGACACGGAACAAGCGCACAAGAATGGGATGATCGGCGGAGCACAGGCAGCGACGGCAAAGAAAAGACATTGCGATTGTTTGGGGGAGAGGGGTGGGGGGGGGGGGGGGGCAGGGCGCCGCAAGAATTGGACTGTCAGTGAAAGTGTGCCGACCATCAGGAGCAACGGGCCTTCCTGTGAGAAGTATGTGGCCAGCACCTTACAGCACGACATGAGATCAAAAGTATGAAGTTGGAAAGCTCAGTGGTTTCCATGCTACATTTGTGAAGTGGGAAGGTGCTATGCAGCAGTTGTGACTGAGGTCACCGCCTATCTGGAAATATTGGCTGCGTTGCAGCACCGGCTGGAAGCAGGCAGCAGTAGGTGAAAAAGCAAATAGCAATACTAAAATATCACAACAACGAGTAAAACCGGTCCTTGGAGAGTTTGGCAAGATTTGGCAAGGCTCACAATTCCGCAATCCGAAGCTGATCGACCAACTCCGTGAACGGGCCGCGCGCTCTATTGCCTTTTTTTGCGCAGCTTTTGCATGCAGATGTCCCGCCCGTGAGTCATTGGATCCAGGTGTTCATTCCAGATGTTGGATATGTCAATGCACGGAAATGCAGGCCACGCATTCGCAGATTGTGGAACTGTGGTTTCCTGATTGCGTTCTGATCTCCGAGCTGGCATGACGCAGAGTTAGACTTTGGACCATCAACCTTGCCTGCCAAATGTGAGCGCCGAAACCCAAACTCTTAAAAACCCTAAACCCTAAAAAAAAACCCAACTCTTAAAACACCCTAAACCCTAAAAAACTCCAAAAACCCCAACTCCTAAACTTTAAACCTGACACGCACCAGGTGGCGGTCGAGCTCCCGCCTTCGTGGGCGAACGGAGTTCCACGAGCTGGACCAGGATGGGCTTTTCGGCCTCACAACACCTAAGCATCCCTATTTAGGGTTTAGGGTTTAGGGTTTAGGGTTTAGGGTTTAGGGTTTAGGGTTTAGGGTTTAGGGTTTAGGGTCCTAAACCCGAACCGCCTGAAATCACCCTTATATGAAGGCCTTAGGGGTCAAGGTCGGGGGGTTGGGGTTCTAAGATTGCAGGGGCCCAATAACTTAGGTCTTAGCATCCCTATGAATAGTCATTATTGTCAACTTTATAAAGCTCTTTGCCTACTGCAAGATATACTCCTAAACCCTAAACCCTAAACCCTAAACCCTAACCCTAAACCCTAAACCCTAAACCCTAAACCCTAAACCCCAAACCCCAAACCCTAAACGCTTGCGAAACGGGTGGGAAAAAAAACCCTAAACCCTAAACCCTTGCCTACAGTTCTGATGATGACTTAAGGTTCCCCCCACAAACTGGCAGGTCTATGGTGAGGGAGGTCGGTGGTCGGACGAAGCGCCGCAGACCGGAGCTCGGCTTGTGTCATCTATGGTTTAGGGATGTTTAGGGTTTAGGGTTTAGGGTTTAGGGGGTAAAGGTTACCTTGGTACCCGAAAAGGGTTTATGGGTTCATATTGCCTGAACAGGAATTATAGTAGTCAGGGTATATGACCCCAATTTTAGGGCACTTCGTCCCCAAAGGTTATACGGTATGCAGAAAATTCTCCTGCATACCGTATATTACATTGCTTTGGCGCCTAAGGCCCTATATACATATGTGAGATATCCCCACACCTCACGCGCCTGAAGTCTGAGCTTTCAACTGGGGTTTAGGGTTTAGGGTTTAGGGTTCAAAAAAAGGGTTTAGGGTTTAGGGTTTAGGGTTTAGGGGGGTTTAGGGTAGCCTTGCAGCGCTCGAGGAAGGGCCGGTTCAGTTGCTGGTGGATCTCCTTAATCCCCCTCTGTTCGGTGGCCAAGGCTTCGCCGATACTTTGTCTATTGGCTCGGTGTGCTGGGTGCTCGGTATCCAGGTTTCAACTGCACCCCAAAACCGGGTTTTGATCAGAGATCGTGTCTTATATAAGAGAACCACAACAAAAAATATGGCCGCTTCTCGGGGCGTTCGGCGTTCGCTTAAAATTGTGCGGGATGTGGGTTTGAGATGTTGGGCGAGACATTGAGACCCTGCGCACTGATTGCTCCCTGTTGCTTTTGTACTGCTTGGAGCCTCAGAGCTTATCGTACTGCAGCATCTGCCCGAAACTTAACGGGGTAGGGCGTTACATGTTTTTATCTTATTATTTGTTGCCCTGAATCCTCTATGTAATCCTTATTAAGCCATAATAAAAATGTGAGTTTTGCTTCGGCCCCCCAAAACCTGCCAAGTTTAAACTCTAAAGCCTTTAACCCGAACCCCTACACCCTCAACTTATGCTCCTGCGGCAATTCGGGTGCCTGCGGTTTAGGGTTTAGGGTGTAGGGTTTAGGGTTTAGGGTTTCGGGTTTTGGGTTCAGGGTTCAGGGTTCAGGGTTGCTCTCAGGCCGACAACCCTGACCTTGGACGAGAGCTTGGACCTTCTGCGGGAGCTGAAGAGTTCCTCGAGGCGGGTTTGCCAGGTTTAGGCGGCCTTATGGGCTGCAGATGATGTGGGTGATCGTGTAAAATCCAGTTGAAAACGGATGCTAGTTTTGTTCCTGCAAGAAGCAAAGCTGGGAAGAATCATGTGTGCATATGGTGTGGCACAAAATCATGAGGAAGTGACATGCTGGCGCGGTAAGAACTATGGACGAATGGGTTATGGCGACACAAAATAGAGGTGACATGACTAGACTGACAGACGGGTGGCATTTGGGTACTGATCTGTTTGGGGCTTTAAGGGGTTGTAAGGGACCTTAACGCCAAGTGCTCAGTTTTGGGACACAGAAACGAGTTGGTTGGTTTAGGGTTTGGGGTTTAGGGTTTAGGGGCTAGACTCGGTTAGTCCTTCAACTCTTGGCCCTGGACTCTTAGCTTGAGTCCTAATTTCCTCGTTCGTAGCCAAAGCTTGGCCAAATCCTTCTTCTGGCAAAGCTGGCAAAACTCAGAGGCAGGGTTTAGGGTTTAGGGTTTAGGGCTTAGGGTTTAGGGTTTAGGGTTTAGGGTCCCTGCATCCTAAGTCCTAAGCCTATAGACCCTTGTAGTCAGCGTGGGCCTGGCGTTCACGAGCTCCCCGTACATTGGATACCTAAGTTGTGTTCAGCCCGAAAGCTGGCCCGAAAACTTAACCCCGGTATAGGAGCTGCCCGCCACAGCAGGTTCTCGCAATTACAAGACGCGTCGGAAGGCGCTGTCGGCTGCCCTGAGAGAAGGGTTGACCTGAGTTCTGGGTCTATGGTCTAGGGTTGGCCTTTTTTGGTCTCCTTTTACGGTGGCAGCAGGATAACAGGAGCCCCTCAAAGAGACCCTAGCTTAGAAGAACCTCTCAGCACCATGTTTGTTTGCAGGGTGTCCAACTTGACACGCTCTTTTTGAAGGATGCTTTTGAGGCTTCTTTTCGACGAGACTTCGATTCCTCTTGGGTTCGACACGCCCGCACAGTTTTTTGTTGCCCTTGTGAAATGGAGCTTCAAGGCCAAAAAGCTGCTAACCCCAAACCCTAAACCCTAACTTGCCCTAGGCGTATCATCCTGGTTTTGGGGCCTCCTAGCGAACTCCAAGCTTTTGGTACCATCGACCTACGCTGGGGGTTCTCACCTTGCACTCTAAACCCTGAACTGGCCCTAAACCCGAAATCCTAAACCCGAAACTCGAAACCCGAAACCCTAAACCCTAAACCCCAAACCCTAAACCCTAAACCCTAAACCCTCCCCAAGAGTCCAAGCCACAGGCTCCGTGCTGTCCCGGGCAGCGGCGCTGTACCGGGAGGCCTGGCCATGATGCACTCTTGGGGGCTTACGGTAGGGTTTAGGGTTTAGGGTTTAGGGTTTAGGGTTTAGGGTTTAGGGTTTAGGGTTTAGGGTTTAGGGTTTAGGGTTTAGGGTTTAGGGTTTAGGGTTAGGGTTGAGGGCTCAGGGTTCAGGGTTCGATGGTTTTACAGGGGGGAAACCCACATCCCTGAATTTCTTGATGCAAGTCATCCGTAAAACTTCTGGTGATTGCAACCCGGGTCGACCGCCTCAGCCCCAAGCCGAAAATCAAGAAGGGAGTTCAGTCCCCAGTTCAGGGTTTGGGGTTGAGGGGTTCAGGGTTTCGGGTTCAGGGGGTCAGGGGTTTAGGGGTTTAGGGGTTTAGGGGTTTAGGGGTTTAGGGATTTAGGGATTTAGGGATTTAGGGATTTAGGGATTTAGAGATTTAGGGATTTAGGGATTTAGGGATTTAGGGATTTAGGGATTTAGAGATTTAGGGATTTAGGGATCTAGGGATTTAGGGATTTAGGGATTTAGGGATTTAGGGATTTAGGGATTTAGGGGAGGAGGGGTGGAGGGGATGGGTCCCGGAGGTTCTTCTCTCAACCCCCCCCTCCCCCGGGAGGAATCAGAACCCGACCGCAAGGGGCAAAAGATGGAGCAAGGATCCACCAGAGGGTGTGAACCCTAAACCCTAAACCCTAAACTGGCTACATATGGGCTCCTAGGGAGTATGCTGGCGACATGGCAGTGCGATGTCTTCAGCAGAAGCACCCACAGCGGTTAAGCGCTTTAGAAGAACCGTTGAGGTCTCCCCTTGTTCGGGCTTTAAGAGGATCATCTTCTTGAGGATCATTCTGAGGTCTTTTTCGGTCCCAGGATGTTCAATCGACCCCAGCATGCCTCAATCTTCAATCTTCAAAATCCTCTAGATGGTTCAAAGCCCAAAAACGCCGAAAAGGCTAGAAATCCCCAAAGAATCCCGAAGAACCTGAACCCTAACCAGCCCTAAATCCTAACCTAAAACCACAAGCCCGAAACCCCAAACACTAAACCCGAAACCCCAACCCTAAAACCCCAAACCCCACACCCTAAACCC